GGTATTGCTTTTGATACAGTATCGTTCTCTGTCTTTTCTCTGTGTGTCCCACACAGATCTTTTACTCTGTGGGAACACAGCCTGTTCAAAGTGACAGATGCTGCCGCCTGTGCTCTGCCTCTGGCTGTTGATACTGTATCTTCAGGACCAAAGAAAGTGCCAGCCACTGCTTCGAATACTAAGAAAACTCAGATGATTGAACGCCACCCTCTGTTGTTCTGCTCATACATTTTATGCACAGTGAAGTTCTCAGCTTTTCCAGGCTTTAGCGCTGGCAGCATATGTTGAACACACATCGTTACCATGCAATGTGATGCATTTTGTATACCCTCAAAAGTCAAAGTCAAAGTCAAAGTCAGCTTTATTGTCAAGAATTCTACATGTTGTACATCCAGAAATCTCGAATACCCTCTGTGATCTTCATCATGCATCCGGGAGAGGGATTGAAAGTCTTGAATAATAAGAAGTCTGCTGTAGAGTAAGACATTATACATGCATTTATCAAATGCTTTTACAATTGCTCAAAGACACTTTGCAGTTATAATAAAGAAAATATAAAAATCAAGCTAATATAATTATATTTGACACAATTACACAAAATTAATCGCAAGTTAAAAACCAGTCTGTAAAGGTGAGTTTTGGTCAGTGTTTTGAAGGTGGGGAGATCGGTTGGTGCTTGGTCCTCTTGGTGAGGTAGGAGGGGGGCAGGTTGTTGAGTGCAATAGTAGGAGGAATAAAATATTCTATGAAATATAATAACGTAGCACCTCTTGAGTAACATGTTGAGTTGTATTCTCTGTTTAGTGGTTTCTTCAAATGCCAGTAAGTATCATGTTATAGACAGAAGAGTCACTCGTGAAAAAATACAAAGAAAATGTCGAGATTATATGGAAATATGTATTCAGACACAAATCCAATCCGCTTTTTACCTCTTTCAGGATCCTTTTTCAGACAAAAATAAATTGGTAGCCATATATAGAAAATAAATTGAAATAATTAGCACATTATAAATTGCAGCAGTGTGTAGCTGTTTCTGAAATAACTACTGTGATCTCCTTCCTTTTTTAAAGATTACACTAGAGTTTGATTTCTGGATTCTTTACATTTCTGGAAGACATTGGAGCTTTTTCTCAGAGGCTTTCTAAATGTCTTGGACATGTTCTGTTGAGATTGTGTTGCTTTGTATTCTGAAAGACTTTTCTGCCATCAGAAGAGACACGCATCATCAGATTAAAGTGAATCAGTATGCAAACTGTGATTACGGTCTACAATACATGTATTGAATAGTTAGTGCTCCAGGAAATTGTCCCGGAAATGGTGTCCCACTGTTCAGTAGAATCACGCTTTCCATAGAGCTGAGAAAATGAGAAAAAATGTATATATATATTTTTCTCATTAACAACAATAAATGTATGTATTTAAATACAGCTCAAACTATTATGGATTGTTTTACCTGTCAGACTAAATATAAATGTATACCAATATATTGTAAATATTCTACTATAGGTCAAAACAAAATGTTTCAGCCCATAATCTCATACTATTACACAAATAAAATGTAACAGATTTTTTCAAAAATAAACTATGAAATGTCATGCTCTGAAAATATATTGTTTCTGTATATAGCTTTCACTTTGATAGCAGCATCAAGTTTTCTCTTAATTTAACGTAACTTAATTTGTATAGTCCTTTAATAAGAACTCATAAAGAGATTGAACATAACTCGGAGGTAGACTGAGTTCGATTTGAAATGTTTCCTTTATCACCTGATACTTTTCTCTCTCAGGAGTATTTGCATAAGAGGGGAGAGCTGGAGAGGAAAGGAAAAGAACAAATTATTCTCAAGTGTCTTGAGTGTGCTGTTTTTACACCGTTAAGTGCTGTGTGCTCATACGTAATGGACCTTTATGTTGCCATGACAAAAGAAAGGAGTCAGGGAAACATTTCACAGATTTAAATCCTAACTAAAAATACATTTAGTTTTTTAGGGCTATAATTTAGCCAGCTTGTTTATCTCTCTGCTGAAGAATAAAACATTTACACAAAATAGCATTGCGCAGGCTATTGTAACTTTCAAAAGAGAACTAAGTATCTTGTCAAGTGGGTAGAGTATTTCACTACTTACAGTTTGTCGCTGCAGGTCTCAGCAGAGCCAACAGTTGGAGAGCTTTCACTGATGCTCTCTGCAGGACTTTTATATGCTTCTCTTCGTACCTTTCCATATGTCACTCCTACACATACAGTCCTTCCTAAAGGTCCCATTCACTTCTTATCACTGCCTGTGTGTATGATATCACCACTCTGGTTCACAGCTGCATTTATTATCACTTTCTTTAAACGTTGTTCCCAGATCCTTTTCATCTCTTTGTTCTGGACACACTCGTCTCAGTTCACTGACGCCATTGTCCTTCTTTTCTTCGTTTTCCTCTACCCTTCTTGGCCCCTGTACGGCTCCATCCCTGCAGTACGTCTCTTCCTCACAAATGAGGCCACTGCCTGGCCAAAAGCAGCGGTGCATCAAAGGCACAAATCCTGAGGGCCCGGACACCCATACTCTATTCTTCACCTTTCTCCTCAAAATGTCCCCTTTGTCCTGAGCGGAAAGAATGTCAATTTCAGATCCATCACTGACTTCTCCCTTTGCTAACCTGGTCTACATATTTTCTTTCTCTCTGAAAGAGAATTATTCTGTGGATGAGAGGTAGATTATTACCTATACATAGATCAGACAGATTCTTATGACACTTTTTTATTATGTGCAACCTTTTTATTCCTTGAACTGTTCCTACAATACAATCAGTAAGAATTATAGAGGAATACATTTGTTCTCTTCAACCAAAAATGATGTGGATATTTAATATGGAGCACGTGCATATTGTATATTGTATCTTTATCTGTGGTTTAGTTTGTCACACTGAGATGTATTGTTTTACGCTGTTGCAGCTACAGTTTTTCTTGAAAACTGATTGAGTACATTGAAACATACAAAAGTTACAAGGGCTTATACTAAATAGACCAAAAAGGACGGCAAGAGAAAATACTGAAGGTTTACATTTCCTACAAAATAGCTACTTCTCTTTTTCTTTACAGACAGAAATGCCCGCGTTCAGCACTCTCATTCCTGTAATATATTTTAAATATGCTCATATAAAATCAATTCAATCAGTGAGCCTGAGAGAGAGGAATGATTGAGATGAAGGGAGTGGATTAGGTGGCTGTGAGAATGCTGTGTGAGATTGCACATTTACATTAAATCAATGAACATCTCCTATGGTTTATGTGCATAATATTTCCCACTACTTTATTAACTTTAATATAATTAGAATGGTTAACACTGTATGAATAAACTGACTGTACTAAGGTTACACTTCATGGTGATATAACTTTAACGTCATGTTTGAATTGATTCTTTGTGAATCTCTTTGTTATTTCTTTTTTTTATTCTTACTATATTTACTTGAGTCTAATGTTGATTTCATAAGGACAGAGGGCGTCGTTTTTCTCATACTGATATTCTGAACAAACTGCTGTTGTATTTGCTGTAAAGTGTCTTTACTGTAGGGTATTTTTATTATATGTACAGCACTTTGGCTCGACCAAAAATCGTTTAAAAATGTGCTATATAAATAAAACTTGATTTCATTTCATTTCATTTTAAATTTAAGGACAATAATATTTGTATATTGTTGTATCTTTTGAACATTTTGACTTGTGTAATGCTTCATACGGCATGCTGGAACAAAATAATTTCCTAATTTTGGGATAAATAAAGTATACATTATATCTATCTATCTATCTATCTATCTAGTAAAAGTTCATTTGACAAAAGAGCAAAGCTAAAATAGAGATATAAAATATATTTATTTTTATATTTAATGCCTGTATCTAGCTTTATATAGAGTATTGTAAATATATAATTGTGTATGGATTTATAACTTGTAATAATTTGAAGCTCTTAAAATCCTTTTCTATAGTTCTCAGGTTGAATTTGAAACTAGCGCTGTACATTAAAGGTAGGGTAGGTAAGTTTGAGAAACCAGCTCGAGATACACTTTTTGTTATATTCCATGGAATGCTCTTAACATCCCGATAGCAATGAATATCTTAAGTGCTTTGACAATAAATCCATAAAAAAATGTCCTCTGTGGAAGCCGTAGTGCTGTAAAAAGTACGACCAATCATTTTAGCCGGCCCGGCTAAAATAACTGGTGCACAGACTTATCTCGTGCCCTCATTGGTCATGTGCGCGTTTGTGTGTGTTGGAGGAGGGGCTCTGTAAGGAAGTGGCAGATTTTCTCCGGTTGTGTATTTTCAAATTCTAGCGCACTCAAGCTGGTTTCTCAAACTTACCTACCCTACCTTTAAGGAAATAAAAGGTTTCTGGAGAAGAACACACGCCATCCATTTTGAATTTAGTCATACTGTAGTTTACATGTAATCCATTTAATAACTTGATTCATTTTTCCATTCGTTCTTTTTTGTTTCTTGGTGTATTTAACTATGAATTTTTACCAGCTTAGGGTGTATTTATAGAGAAAGATGCATGGTGGTATTACAGTATGTGTGTGGGATTGAGGTGTTTTGACAGTTCCAAATTGGTACAGGCACACTTGTTCAGCTCGCTGTCGATGTTACAGCATTATGTAACATTCTTGACAGTTGAGCTCCAGAGAAAAGAAAGCTACATAACTGCAGATGCATAATGGATCACACCCAAAAACGGCCCATTGAAGTGAGCAAAAGCTCTCATCTCACAATTAGCAACGGTTTGTTGAGTCAATACCATCGCTCAGAATTTCTCATTTCTGTATTTATTTGGCTACCAACACTTTGTACCAGCGTGTCACAGTTTTTCTCTCGCTTTAGTGTGATGAAGCGGTGAAATGTTGACGCTGAGCTCCCTGAGAAATAGAATTCTTGAGGATGTGTCTCTGTCATTTTAAGGGTGTCTTAAGCCAATCCTTTCCCCTAAACGTATGTCATTTTATTCTCTCTTGCAGCTCTATTTACAGAGGTGCCACATGACATCAGGACGCAGAGCGGGGAGGATGTAGAGATGGCTTGTTCCTTCCGTGGGACGGGCTCTCCCTCCTACTCCCTGGAGATCCAGTGGTGGTACATTAAGGACCGGAGAGACTGGAAACAGAAGCCTGCGAAGATCACAAATGATGTAAGCTGTGAGGGGAAATAGATACATACATATTTAAGTCAAGGTTTAAAAAACTGTGATCTTTACTACACTTAAAAAACAGCAATTACCCTAGTTTTTAACGCATTAAAACAATGTGTTTCAATTAATAAAGCATTAAAACTATTGGCAGTCATACAGAATAGTAAGCTAAAAGAAATGAAAACATTTTATGAAAATTGTTAGCTAAATATAATAAATAAACATATAAAATATTTTAGCTTCTGTCATTTGGAGTACAGTACACTGTTGTATATACATCACATATTATGTCTACACATTATTATGACATATACTTACATAAAACATTAAATGTACATTTTATGTATTATGCTGTTGTACTTTACTCATCCCATTTTTTGGTTATCCAAAATGTGAACCTTTTAGTGTAAAAATGTAGTTTTGGTTTTCCAATTTCACAGTTCACTTTTTCGGATTTAAACTTAGACAGACTGCACACTAAGCTTACTGTATATCAGGCAGAGAGAAATGCAATAATAGCCATAGCGGTGGAAGAAACCCTCTTGCATGGAAACGAAGGTATAATTACTGATTAGCATTTGCCAGCACCAGGGGGACAGGTTGACTCTCCCACCACGGGGAAACTCAGGCTTCCCTGTTGTGCCTCAAGACACTATAATTGGCACTGAGAAAGAAATATATTTTCCAAATCTCAGTCTGCTGCATGCATTATTCATACCTATGCCCAGAAGAATACCTCTGTGCCTCTGCATACACATTCACACACACTCTCCTGCTCAGAGGATTACGTGCTCAGTGCTGTCTGTTCATATACACACACATTTAAACAAGCACTTATAAGCATGCGTACCCACACACACAAATACATACATCTCAACTAGCAGGAAAATAATGGTAACTACAAGGAAGCTTTAAGGAAAGGCTGTTGAAAACATCAAAACATGTTTTCCTCTGCGATGTTTTGCTGTTGTAAGTCGATGAAATGAGTCATTTTTAGCATGAAAGGTTTTTAGAGATGTGCGACTCTCTGTTGCTAACGCTTCATCCATACTTCTGTGCAGGTTGTACCGCTGGAAGAAACTTCCAAAGATGCCACCAAAATAAGTGTAAGTCTGCATAAACTGTCAACAAGCATAAAGCACAAATATTATTATTGTTCAAATAATGAATATAAACAACATCCAAGATTTTGTAAGATATCTTTATATTATAAATGTATCAGTGACATCCCCAAAATGATATATCAACTCGCCCCAAAAAACTTGTCACCCCGCATTGTGAACATAGAATCAAAAACAGAGAACATGTTTGTTCAATAATACATCAAAAAGTCTATTATGAACTCTCACACAACTTGTGCAGTATAATGACTCCTATTTGTGTTATTTTACATCCAAAACCCTGTATTTTTTCTCCAACCTTACTTTCATCAACAGTTTCACGCAGTGTTTTAGTAGTGTTATAAAAAGTAAGGTTTTAGTGAAAATCCATGTGTTTTGTCAGTACTGAATGACTGGATACATTACATTTGGATTACACTGCACAAGTTTTGTGGGTGTTTTGATATGCTAGTACACATTAAATTCAGTTCATCAAGACTTTTCTCTGATTCTGGATTCTGTGAACTCTTCAAGAAATCAAGGTACAGTAACACTGTGAAAGTAATTAGTAAACGTAATTTTGGGGGTGAAGTATTATTGTTACCATAATTAAAGTGTTTAGAATAACATGTTATACTGTGTGTTTACCATATGGCTTCAAATAAGAATACATCATATTGTGTCCCCATTAGGTGGTAAAAGTGGCCGGCAGCAACATCTCCCACAAGCTCCGTCTCTCCAGTGTCAAGCCGTCAGACGAGGGCACGTACGAGTGTCGAGTCATCGACCTCAGCGGCCCTGTGGCGCAGCAACACCGTGTTCGCGCCTTCCTCCGTGTGGAGCCTGGGAGCAGTCAGGGGTCTGAAGAGGTCAAGAGGCAGGAGAAAGGGCAGAGGTCACATGGGAGCCAGCCACACCCCCACCACCAGACAGAGGGCAGGGAACTGAAGAGGAGATCAGCTGACAGCCCCACTGACTGCAGTGAGAGCTGTGGGCTGTAGAGGGTCTGCATGTTCATGACTTATCTCTACAGAGGGACTGTCATCAAAACACCCGTCATCACAGACTGGACCTTTGTGTTTCAGCGTTTGTTTGTCCATCTTTAATATTGCTGTTCAGATTGCCAATGCTGTTGAATGCCAATAGAGGGCACCATTTGATTTAGTGTACATATAAATGTGTTCTTTTCTTTGCTTTGTTATTTTCTCAGTTTTTTTTTCTCTTGCATTAGGTTTGTGTTATAGTGAAAGTAAGGCTGTAATTACAGAACATTTGTTTTTGTTATTTTGTATTTTTCGACTCACTCAACTGTAGTTTTCCTCACAATCCAAAACTGCAGTGGAGAGTCAGAATTATCATCAATATCATAAAAATGAAAAGGGGATACAGACACAAAACAGATCATTTCCCCATTCTACTGTCTTTTACCAAAACATATGCCAAAGGTTGCAGTATTTTAATGTTAATGCTTTCTAAGAAATAAAGAATATATCAAGCTTTCTTTAATTTATCTGAGAACATTTCAAAGTGCTTTGTTTTATTCATGTGATCTTTGTTAAAGCAGTATCTGTATTAAGCTTTCTAAACCACGACTATAATGTTTGTCAAAATCACATCACATCAAACAATGTATTAATTCTTATGTATATTCAAATCTTAGCACTGTAGACTTGTAATGTATTCATAAAATAAAGTTTACTGTCCTGCTTAAACAAATGACTCAAGAAACACAATGTGTGTTAATATCTCCTTTTGTCTAAACTTTAATGAGTTTGTCATCCGAGTCACATTCTCCTTTTTACTGTGTTTGTTCTACTGTTAGTGCTGCTGTTCGGTATTTGTTCTGTTAAATACATTCATTTGAAATTACTTGTTCGCGCGAGTGATTTTAACTTGTTGTTCTTAGTATTAGAGCCAGTATTTTGTTTTACAAAAAGGGCCATCTAATTGTGATCTGTAGTCAAGACGGTATAAAAGACTATAATTCCCACAGCGCCAGCCTGTGTTCAGACGCCGTCGAGGCACAGTTTTTAATCGTTAAAGTTATACAAGCCAATACAAAGAAAAAAAGAAAGAAAGAAGGACCACCTAAGTTGTTCATAATTTTTATTTGAGTTTTGCCTCTTGTTTGATTTGTTTTGACTATTGTAAAGGCCTGTTTTCTTTGTTGAATGTGTGAAAAGTTTATTTTAACGCATAGAAAAATATCAACACACACCAACGGAGGTTGGTCCAACTGTCCAACTGTGAGTAAAACGCGTTAGAGCTGTCTGTTTAAGGCTTTTAGTTTGGATATTTGATATTTGATAAACATTCACTCAAGTCGACTTACTGAGTTTCACAGACGGAGTGCTGAAACTCAGTAAAACTTACTTTACCAGGATCCTTCTTGCTGATATTCAGTCTCTTACTTTGTTACTATAATACTGCACATCATAGATGTTTCTAAGAGAGTGGGTAAGCCTTGTTCTCTGTAGAGGAAATATGTGCTTCGGCGGCACAAACTAACCAGTCGGTTGACCCTTATGTGTCCTGAATATTAACTGCAGTACCTGCCAAAGTGCCAAACATAGATCAAAGAGGTAATTACTTGTATTCACTGGAGAAGGCTAAAACGATGGTTATTTGGTGTTTTATATTGTACTTTTTACTTCACTACACATCCTGTTAAAATAGTATTTTTCTTTTGGCAGCCAGCAGCATGCCGCACAAAAAGTAGCTGTCTGGCTTTTTTTTAACCATTGCAATTACTGTTTGTGACCAGGAGAGAGCAGCACTTTCTCTAACATTAGGAAAATGAATAACACATGCATACTTGCATGCCCACACACATGCCCATATGAATGGTAGAAGTAAATGTCTTGTAAAAGTTGGTGTGTTGTTATAGTCTAAAGCAGGGGTGTCAAACTCAATTTCATCGCGGGCCACATTAGCATTATGGTTGCACTCAAAGGGCCGGTTGTAACTATAAATATACATATATAAATATATAATATATATATATAAAATAATGTATTATATTACACTATTGCCTCTGAATTGGATTATTATCGGATAGGATAATAACTTAGTAATTAACTACCAACTACGTCTGAAAGCAGAAGTCCAGGGCAAATAATTGCAAGTCTCTTCAGTGTGCATGTCACAAAACGAGATGCATTGTGGGACAGGTAGTTTATGGGCAACCTGCTTCTGTAAAGTGGCATGTAACCGTATAATAAACGTATTATATTCTTTGCAAGCTCTTGCGGGCTACATAAAATGAAGTCGTGGGCCGGATTTGGCCCCCGGGCCTTGAGTTTGACACCCCTGGTCTAAAGGAAGAGCAGTGGAAATGGTTATATTACTGCAGCGTACCATGCAGAAGACAGATCACCTAAAGCATCCACGGGTCTACATTTCATAGACAGACATTTGTTTTGAATTACTATAGGATGTCAGTACTATACCCATATGGTGAAAGGCGAAGCTGAAAAAAACGAAAAACACATTGCTTTGATGCAAGGGTGAAACAACTCTTTTAATTGTAGCAATGAAAAGGTATAAAAATAAAACATAGTACTAAAGTGACTAACTATTCATTCAGATCACAGTATATATTCTGTCAACATTTTAGCATGCACAGATTTAATAAGCCTTAATGAGCATAAAGTGTTGTCACTAAAATATCTGGCTCAGAAAAATATACATTAAGCATTTTGGACTAAACAGTGAGATTATAAAGTATTTGAATAGAAAAGCTTTTTTTTTTTTTTTTTAACTGTGCAAAAAAGGTTGCATTTGCATATCTTTAGATGGCTAAAGGCTTGCAGTAACTGTTGACAAAAGAGTGCCGGCCCGGCCATCTCATGGACTGTAAAGGCTTTATTTTTTTCCGATAATGACATTCCTGTAGCCCTTGACGTGACACAGTTTGTTGCTGTCGAAGTCGACCACCAGCTTTCTCAGCCCAGAGTGGGTGGGAGTGAAGTATATTTTCACCTTGGCATCCTCCCCAGGTCCCACTGAAGAGCCAAGCCTGTAGGGTAAATATTTAGACAGTAAGATTGTGACACGTACACTAGAGAGAGACATTTTTCGTAGTCTTCTGATTGCATAAATGTTTAGACGATCAATTACCACTGATTAACGACTCATGACAGTTTACACTATGTATGGAGATGATGGGAATGGAGCTGTAGTTTATGAACTTAGCATACAGTAAATGACTAAAGGTCATTAAAAACTTGAACAATAAGGCCTCTTCTCTAGTATATTATAGCGTTCTTAAACTTGTCTCGACCCCACTAAGCCTCTGCTTCTTTCTTTAGCAGTGGGCTCCTGTCCTGACTAAACAGAGGCACATCCAGCCACACATCTGGAGGCTGCACCAAGAGCGGGGGAACAAATCATAAAACAAAATAACACATATCTCAGAGTTTGGAAGTCGAATGGGAAAAAAACATTTCCACGACAGACAAATATGATTTGAAAAGGTCAAAAGTTGCCCATGTGTTGTCATAGCAAAAAAGGCAGAATGAGTCTGGTTGCTCTGCGTCCTGTCACTGAATGTAAATGTTTATCAGATTTTATTCTTGGGGAACATTTTTCTTTTATAATTGACTGTGTGCATGTTTGTGTCTGCAGAGTGGAAGGTCAGTTACATCTGCTCATTTATGACAGGTCAGTGGTTGGTTTTAATGAGTAAAGAAAATGATTTCAATCTGTGTAAGAAGGAACTCATACAACCTCTCAGAGAGGACTTGTCCCGAAGTCAGGTTGGACCCTTCGATGCTGAAGCAGCAGTTCTCCAGCGCCTCTGGAAGAGGGTTTTTGAGGGTGATCTCTGCAGCCAGCTTCCTTCCTTCCTTCGGTTCACCCAGGATCTGCAGAGCACAAGAACTTAGTGAGTGAAAGTCTCACTATATGTTGAAAACTATTTTACTTTACTTTACCTACTTGGGTAAAGCGTGGTTTATACATACTTGGGAACATGTGTTGATACAATACTCTAATCCTATATTCCTAGTGATTAACTGGCCTGCTTTTGTTTCACTTTTCTAATACATTTTCAGGGCTTGTTTTGACTTTGGACATTATATATGTACTTTTTTGGCATTGTTATTTAAAAGTTGTCCATAATGTATAGCTCCAGTTGCAGGTCATATACTCACTCTGACTTTGATTTCAGGATTCTCCAGCACAATGTTCCTCACAGCCAGCATTGCCTGACTGTTGGAGAAGTCTATCAACAGAACTGCCAGGCGGATCAAGTTGTCCTCAGTGAGTTGCTCACCGTACTTAGAGTAGTTCAGTCTTAGTGGGACGCGCCTCTCTAGAAGAAAACACACAATCTATTGAATACTCACAGTGCAAAGTCAAGTGTATCGAGCATTCACATGAAAAACACTACATCACCTCACCTGCTCCTGGGGAGAGCTCAACATTGAGCAGATCTTTAAAACCACAATTATTTCCCATATGTCCGCTGTAGGACACAGCACAGGATCCAAACACCAGTCGGCACTTCTTGTCGCTTTGCGTGTTGTTTGTGACAACGGCGAACACGTCAAAGTCGCAGCCCTTTCTCATGTCTGATGTGACTTTGATGGCGATGTGTAGGCCTTCATTTTGCTGCTGTTGGAGCAGCTTGTTCTGGTGGTTAGCCTTCTTGAAAGCCTCCCGCTCTTCATCAGAACCTGGAAATATGGAAGTCATATTTATTTAATGTCAAATTGTCCCTTTTTATAAAAAGGACCTTAAATCTGACCTTCTTGAACACTTTATGTACATTAAAAATAACACAAATACTGATAGGGAATGTAAGAATGTAAACAGCAAGTGAACTCTTTGTGACCTGCTGATATGCAAAAAAGGCCTGTATAAAGTAATGGTCATGTTTACGGTGTCTTGTGATAATATAGAAATGATAAGGACCACCTCTATTGAATTTTTGTTTAGTCTATCTCTTTATACCTTCAGGGTACTTGTAGAGATGAGTGACGTCCTCTCTGTCGTCACTGCCCACTCTCTTTGTGCTGATTTTCTGGCCCACAAATGTAGTGTATGTGGTGACTTTTGATGTGCTGCCGTCTTTTTTCTTCATGATGTTGACGACATCAGCATTGACCTCAGCAAAGACAAATGGGGCGTCGTACTTGAAAGTGAGCTCACCCTCCTTAATGGCTCTGACAGGGGTTGGGCCGCAGCAGAACACTCCTAAGTTAAAAAGATCAACTTTGGTGAGGATTTGTCTTGATCAAAAGTAGGCTCAATGATTAATTGATTGAAGTGTGTTCAGTACCTTCACTTTTCTCCTGAGGTGTAGGGTCACTGGCCTGCCAGCCGTCAAAATCTGATTTAAATTCAGGCCGGCTCATCCAGTTCTCTACCCAGCAATGATAATTCCTACAGATACAAACACACCATCAGCCTCCTACACTTTCTGTTATCAGTATTTACTGCAAACTAGACGGTCAAGTTAATAATCAAATCTGCCTAACTACAGGCATGGAAAGCTTCTAATAATACAAAAATATCTATCATTGAAATGTAAGTTAATATTAGAGCTGCAACAATTATTGACCAATAAATCAGTGGATCAACAAAACAAATTATTTGGCAACTATTTGAATAATCGTTTAATCTGAAGAGGTTTTTCATGCATAATGTGCTATTTTATGATATTTTGCTTTATCTGTTATATATCCTATTTAAGTAAGTTGATCTTTCGGTTAACATTGACAAAACAAGACATTCAAAGACTTCAACATGGTCTTTGAGAAACTGGGATGGATGTTTTACACAATTTCCTGACAATCTACACATTAAATGATAATGCAAATAATCTTTAGTTACATCCCTACACATTAGACCTTTTTCTTAATTTATTAAATATGTTCTTACCATATCATTTCTCTAGACTTAAGGAGGTCACCGTTTTCATTGACGTAGCGTTCAATCACCAGGTCGCCGTTGTTGTCGTGGGCTGACAGGTAGTTGGTGACGACTCGGCAGGGGATGCCAAGCGCTCTGGAAACTAACAGGGTATAAAAGCAACTTACATGAGTATTGGAATGCTAAAAGGAAGAGACAAATGTATATCTTTACTGCGTGTTTACACATTTCTTGTGTCTGTTTGAGACAAATCGAATGTGTTTTTCAAAGCTCCACTGCGTCCTATCTTACTTGTGCAGGCCACAGCTGCGAACACCCAGCACTGTCCGTAGCGAACAGGCTGACAGGCCTGTTTGTCCCAGTTGCGCAGAATCTCCACACTGCCCTTCCAGAACAGGGGGCTGACACCTCCTTCATAGCCATCTGTCCATTTTCCCAGCAACACCCCTTTGTCGTCATTACAATTCACCTAACAGGCAAAGGAATGATACACATAAATTCTGAAATCCAAGCGTTTTAAATGTTTAGTTTAAAATGACATCATCTGTGCAGATGAACAAAGGATAAGTGAAAGGAAATGAGTACCATGGCACTGAGCACCCTGGAAACATAGATGGGATTTCTCCTCCCTGAGCAGTCTTTGCCAGGATTTCGCAGACATTTAGGATTCGTATCCAAAATCCGCAGACAGGTGTCCAGGATTCCACTTTCAAACTGTACAGAAAAAAAACGCTGATTAGTTGCTTATTGCTGACACAAGGTTAGAGATGGTGAAATCACCAAGGAGAGATTAGACAAGTCCGTTTCGAAACAACTAAAACCGGTGCAAACGCATAGCGTGGAACTCTGGCATGCTGTAAAGCCTAATGGCTGCACAAGTAATGCAATGCTTATGCCAAGCGTATCACACTTTGTGTCAGATATCAAAGAAAAGGCAGGAAAAGATAACACTCCCCTCATGCTATCAAACTCAGACTGTACACTGTCAGATATAAATGTCTCAGCCAATTTAAGTGCCAAATATTTTTGATAAATGCACATATCTTCCTGTTATCAAAATAAGGGGGATTCAAACTCCTTTGCCACTCAGACACAATGTTGGCTCTCAGACTGGACAAAGTGTGTAAGATGAAGTGAGGCTGACAGCAACAGTGTTGGTGTTGGTACCTGGCCAAAGTTCCAGGGTGTAGGTATTGGATGTTTGTAGCTGCCTCGAAAGATGATTCCATCCGGAGATAAGACGTATTCTTCCAAACTCTGCTCATTTTCCATGTACACTGCATCTCCTGTTGCCAAGACACATTAAGAATAATATCATGAATGTCCTAATACATGTCTGAAGTGACTTCAATTTCTTTGGAAACAACACTTATAACCGCACCCTGCAATCTGATGGAGTTCATTCACAGCTTTATTAGTAGGATTTACAGATGCTTTGTAACTTTTGTGCATTACCAGGCCAGCTGTTTCCCTCTGTTTCCATTATGCTAAGTTTAACTGGCTGCTTGCCCATATTTACCAGAACAGTGTAGATCGGCAAAAAAAACATCAATAATTATATTTCCCAAAATGTTTAACTATTTCTTTAAGGTCAAACAATAATTATTCAACAAAACTATTCAGCTAATCATTCTCCTATACCCTCTGTGCTGCAGTGCTCTTAAATAACTTCTGTCTTAAGCCCACTTCGACACATGAACTTCAAAGCACTTTGTAGCTTAAGATCGCAACACAAGATCCACCACATGACAGCTTGACGTATGATCTGTTTACCCACCTGGGCACCAGGGGTTAAAGAGCAGGATGAACTCAATCCGCTCTGATGGCCCCAGGGTCAGGGTGTAGCGGCCGATAGGTGCGTCAGGGGCGGCGCAGAGGGACAAGGCCACCATGTCTCCGGGGGGGCTGGTGACAGCAGCACTCCAGCGGGAAGTGTCAATGCTGGCAGACAGACCAAAGGAGGCCCTGGTGCCATACTGCTCATTGGGCTGAGGACCTGCATGTGACAAAGAACTTAGTTAGAGATACCATCTGGGAAATATTTTGAGTCTGGGCAATGGAAACTTGCAGGGTGCATTTGCCTGTTTTCCCAACCCTGACTATATTTAGTTCAAACATCTCTGGAATCTGTTCTCATGCATGGACAGCTTAACTGTGTAATGGCATCTCATTATAACTCTCTCAAGCACCCCCTAAGTGACCTCAGTTCAGCTTTGGATTGTGATAAATAATGTCATCTTAAAATCCTCTGTGTTCCTTTCAGTCCAAACATTTCTTCACATCTTCCACCGGGTTCATTCAACTAAAACAAGAGCAGGCCGCTTCCTTCTCATTGGGTGGGATTGGGGTTCCTACTCTGATCCATTAAAACATACTTGGCTTTTATAGCTTGATAATGTTATCTATGATTATACACATGCTTTCCTGTCTGCAAGCAACATTTCCTGTTTTGGATATGATGGCAAGTAGCAGCTGACTTATCATACTCTGCATGAGAGTTTATCCAAATATGAACTGAGGAGAGTAGTCAGATGTCTCTGTGTTTACTTAGTGTTCAAACAGCAGAAAATCATGAGTAAACTGTAACTGTGGCTCCTAACAATAACAGCGTTGTCCTCTAACACCCACAGAACATTATGGGACAAAACAACAGAACATCTTAAAGCTACTGTAAGTGTGCTCTTTGTAAAAGCCAGTATCGGTGTCACTGAAAAATGAACAATGGGAAATTGCTTTATTTTCCTCTACAGCTGCTTCCCCCGATCATATATACAATCACAATAGGTTGCTTAAGAAAAAACACTCAGTAAGTTCCAATGTGACACTAAGGTCCTGCATTAGAGGGAAGTGATCACAGGGATACTTACAGAAACTTTTATAACATTGTAAAACCTTTACTTAAACTTGTATGTGTACAGAAAGATGTAAGTAGGAGTAGCACCTGTCTCTGCGACAAACTCAAGGGAGCTGACTCCCGGTTGGAAGGTTCCGGAGCGAAGGTAGAGGCTGATTGAGAACACCTGGCCTCTCCTCAGGATCAGACGGTCCACACCGTTGAGATCGGTGCGATGGTCGGTGTTGTTGAACTCGCACTCCAGGTTCCAGCGTTCAATGTCCAGAGCTGAAAAGACGTGAGGGCATTTAAAAAGCACTGAAAAAATTAGCAGAAAGCATAACCCTAAAAAAGTGTTGTTGATCATTATATATCTCTATCATTATCAACCTTACATATACATGTATGTGTTGCTATTCAATACAGTATGACTTATTTTAAGTATTCTAGTAAGTCATTATTGTAGGTTTTTACATTAAATAATGCATAACGTGTTACATAGCGAGTAGCTCTCTTTACATTCATTAAAATGAGTAGAACATACAGTTTTATATTCATCTTGAGCACTCTTAATTAGATTTTATTGGAGGATATAGTATATATTTATTGGGTACATTTTAAGTAGTTTTAAAATGTAAAACTATAAATATCTTTCTTTTTATGGAAGACTGATGGTAAATTAACCAGAGATCTACAAGAGTCTGAATCTTGTTTTAACAATGAAAATGTATTTGTGTATTTTTTACTTCCCTGGCTACAAGTTGACTTTTATAATATATAAAAAAAAGGATCAAATGTTTAGTATTTATCCTCAAAGCCACATTGTGTGGACTTTGGGATAAAAATACTTTAATGGTAAGATTGTTTAATTTCAAAGGGCTGTCTGGGTGGATTTAACAAGAAGTAAACACAGCCTGCTTGTGAAGTGTGCAAAGACAGAACCACTCCTTCTCTCCAGGGCACCCTGTGACTAAAGAGAATCACACCCTTTGATTTCCTGTTTTTAGACAAATTAAAGGTCTCCCTATATAAGGCATTCACTACGTACTGCTCCATGACATGTCAGAAGGTTAACCTCTGACCATATATTAGTATGCTGTGTTAACAAAAGCCCTGGAGACCCTCATGTGGATATAGGAGTGTCAGGTCTAGGCTAGACTTGGGTAAACAAAAACTAAGCTGCATAGTTTTCCTGCTGTTTTACACCAAGTCCATTATTCCTCAGTGTTTCCTCAACTTTCCTGTAGCTCTGATGTTTTACTGATCTTGACTTTAGTTCAGTTTCTAATTGAAGACATGTTTGTGTCACTAATTGGGGTAAATGCGGCTGCCATATAGATGACAACGCTACCTATTCTGGGACAGCTGTAGATTGTAGTCAGGGGATAAGGAGGGCTTTGCAGTTCAGCCTGTGAATACTCTCCAGCCATTCGATATGGGCAAATATCATATAAAAAATCAGCATGGAAGCATGAAGCATCATGCTATTTAATCGTGTTTGAGAAAAAACATCTGGAGAAAGAAATATCTCACTTGGGTCTAGGAAATTCAGATTTATTTGTACTGTTTTATTTTGAAGACAGAAGAGTATTGCTGTTAAGTACATCGCACCTCATGCCAAGAGTTCAATAAAACAGATCCTCAGCTTACAGAATGTAAAAACTATTATAAAGATTAATATCATATAAATGTCCATGAACCTGAAACGTTCACAGCAGACAAATGGTGCACTGGGAAACTGACGTAATGCTTTCTGTAAAGATTTGTGGGGTGTTATTTTTGGCCACAAGAGAACATCTCCTTTGATTTAAAACCACAGTGCAACAGCATGTGGTGAAGCAGGTGACATTCATGTGGGTATTCAAAGCCAAACTGCACGGTGAATGTATTGCAACGTGCAGTTTGATATATAGGGTTAAATAACTCACAGCACAAGGCTTTAATATGAAACGGATGGGCAGAGATTCCACAGCAATGACCCTGTCCTCCTCACTGACCTCTACACGTTGTGCACGCCCACAATTCAGTCCAACTTTACCACCCATGACCCGCACAACCACACACAGAGGTACTGCCTCAGCAGGCAGCACAAGCCTAATAAGGACATTACAACAAATCTAGCAAGTGTCAACTGTGTAGCCGCTGGTACAGTAAACAGTGTTTTAACCCTGGAAAAATAAATATGTTCCCGTCAGAAGTGAATGGAGTTTTCAGTCTTGCAGTTAACACCCATGCTGACTTCAGCGCTCCATCACAGACACTTTCAATTGCAACTAAATGCTTAAGCTTCCAACAGATGGAAAACAGGTGCCATTTCTTCATCAATGTGCTGTTTATTCTAACTGCAAATGCTGTAGTCAGTGGTGTTATATTTGCTCATTTCTATTTGTGTGTACCGTAGTTGCTGCAAAAAATACATATTAGTAACATCCTGTGAAGGTTGAATAAAGAAAATAGAAAAAGCATTTATTTATGACTTCAGACTTACTGTTCTGTTCACAAGTTCTCTTCTATGCCACCTAAAAGTGAAAATCGTATGCCTTTTTCTACCTTTTCTTCCATAAAATGTGAAACTACTCCTCAGACATGTTTGGCATACTACACATATTGCCTACACACAGGTCAATGCCATATTTCAACCTTTAGATGTGTTTGAGGAGTTTTAAATGTCTTTACAAGGGCATAAAAGTTAACTATTTGTAGGGTTGTGTGTTTGAGTGTATGTGTGTCCGTCTCTGTGTGTATGTGTATGTGTGTGTCTGTCTGTGCATATCTGTGTATATTCCTATAAAGCAGTTGACTCCAGCTGCTTTCAGCTGCTATTAAAAGGGTCCCAGGATAACAATCACGGCTCAAACATGCGGTTCAAACTTTTTTTAGATGCATCGGTCTTCAGATGTCAGATGGTTGTGTGCTTGACAGAATAATAGTATGTGCAGGATGTGACAACTTAACATTTGTCAGGTTTTTTCGGACACATCATGACTACAGTATATTCTGACAACATTGTTTGACCTTCCTTCTCATTTACTATTCTGTCAGTGACTAGAATAAATGACCACTGCATTAAATAAACTGAAAGTGAGTTGCCTTAACACAAACACCCGTATAGAAAACAGAGGAGATAAAACTGCAAAGCAAAATCCTTGACTTGTAGAATACATATCATTACGCATGTAGCCGAGTTTCTGTTCAATAACTTACCTAGTTGTGAACTACTACACGACCTTTTTATGCAATTACATCGCAAATGGTTATTGTTGTTGTTTAAATAGCACCGGAAGTGTATGACAACAAATACAAGTAATGAGAGTACAACTTACCTTCAGACATGACTGCAGGTGTGTTCTTGGACCAAACTGTGTTTCCAGCGAATCTGCAGCGCAGCTCAAAGGGAAATATGTGTGTGAACACTCGCCGTTATCTCGCTCTTATTTGTAGTCGTCCTCCTCCTGGTGGTGGGCGTGACGCGACCCTTTCGCGCGAGCGCCCACACGTTGAGTTGTAGCCTCTTGCAAACATCTTCCGGTGATTCATTACTGAAGGATGGTCTCTGAACGCTAATTTGTGTGTGTGCTGGGTTAGCCAAGAATAAGTAGAGACCCACTTTGACGTGACAGAAGAATAGTGGAAAGGTACAGAGTGCAGTAACATTTACTTAGAATTACAACAATATGGCAATAGGCTACTATTAAAAATAAGAAGGCAATTAAAACCAGGTGTATTTGATAAGTATTTTTACTTTAAAATGTTACCTTTAGTTTGTTTCACTATTTTATATATATTTCTTTCTTTCTTTCTTCTTTTCACTCCGGTATTACACTTGGTGACATGTTGCCTTATGAGCCTAGTTTATTTCGAGTAAAACCCATACACATTACCTATACAGTAAGAGTCAGTCATATGGTTTGCAGCTCTAAAGGCAGACTATTATAAACCACATATAAGACTATTGGCTCCAGAGCTGTGCATTGCATGCACAGAGTGGAATGTACGCTTGCCAAGGCAGGCTTGGCTAGATCAAAGACTGTGGCATCTTTCGCCCGGGCTCAGTTCCCGGTCTAATAGTAATCATGTGTTTCCTAGAAAATAAATAGGAAATATTTTGAAACCTTTACTTCTAAAGAAGTCGGAAAAGCAGAAGGTTTAGGGGAAGTATGACTTAAGAAGTTATGACCTTTTGACATAAGCTACTGTATAGAGTGGGGTTCCTGTTGAGCGCAATTAATCATCACTTTTCCTGTTAGATAGAACTGTTAGTAGTTACAGTAATCTAACTATCTGTCATACAGTTTAATGCGACTTGTTGGCTACAATGTTTCATTTTCTTCTTCACTTTTAAAAAGTAAAGTATTGTGAACAAATCAATCGATTCTCTTCAAATTATGTTAACTCTTTAATGTGGGTTTGGATATTCTGGTGTTGCATATTTGCTTTTCATTAATCAAGGAAATGCATTTGTATAACTTACTCGACTATATTAATTCCCCATCTTAAATTTGTGCCAGAAATTGACTAACTATTTGACTAATTAAAATATTAGACTTTATTAGATATTAGCCACACATTTTTTAGTTTAAAGATCTTGCATCTTGGTTTGGATAGAAAAAAAGTTATTGTGCAAATAAATACACAAAGGACACATCATCACTGTAAATCAGCTATATCAAATACAAAAGCAAGTTACTAACCTTCATTTCAGTAAAATACTAGTTTGTACGAATGATCAAAAGAAAGGAAAGAGTGAATGTGTTTTATTTTTGAGGAAAAAAGGACACATGTTTTAACAAGTTTGATAAATCTGTACAAAAGGAAATACATAGGACAAAAAGGCATAATGGTGTTTGCTGCCTTTGTGATACAATTCTTCACGGACCTCGACATTTTACAAAACTCCTCTAGAATCCGTAAGTTGCTTGTTAATAACATTCTGCTCATTTAATTTCACCACGATTATTAGCATTGTGTTACAAATACATGTAGCAGGTAAGCACTGAAAGACTGCAGAAACTCTATGATCCTTTGCAAGAGATATGAGACTGGTTTACAGGGACAGCCATGTCAGTTAAGCATTTTGAAATGTTTGAGTACAGTACATTTACAGACTTTTTTTAAAACAACTATTATGACAACTATTTACAGAGTGGTTATGGATTACAGTTGGTGTATAAAAGGATGTCTGTTTGAATGGTTTCATCTTCAACGCTGTCGTCAACAGATGGCATTTATTGGATGAAATCCAAATCTGTAGAAGAAAAAAAAGTTTAAATCAATTTTCTTTCCACAGCAGAACACTTTATAATACACATAATTACCAACTGTTCAAAAGGAGTTATAGTAAATAAAAGTCACCTTGTACTGCATCACAGGTCAAACTTCAGTGGATTTTCCAACACTGGTGTTCTGAACCTGAGGGATTGCATACAAAATATGATTAAATATGAATCACAACAGAAGATGAATCATTGACATAGGGAAATGCAATCTGCATGCAGAAAAATCACTTTAAAGACTAGAGCTGCACAAATTGAGGAAAACATGCCATATGCAATAACATTGTTGAATACCACAATAATAAAAAAATGAATAAAAAAGGAATTATTTCCAACATTCTTTTATTGAACAGACAGTATTTATGGTGAAGGCATGGTATTTGCAAAACACTAATTGCAGTCCGGATAAACAGGGCAGAGATCGTTTATTGATGAATTAATCACTAGGTATTTTAAGTTTCCATATTGTGAACATGTTAATCACTGGTAAAGAGCTTTGTACTGCACCTTGCCGCAGGGCAGGTCCTTGGTCTGGTTTTGTTGTTTAATCTTGGGCTTTGGTGCAACTGGTGGTTGGGTTTTTACTGGGGATCCTGCCAGAGCATTTGTTTTTTGGAAGACTGCAGAGGCTTCAGTCCTATGAGCAACCAATGCCTCTTTAACAGTGTTCATGGAGGGACAAAGGGAAGAGGATTCCTCCACCTCTCCTCCAACGGCCGATTGGTAGCTGTGACCGGAGCAGCTGAAGCCACTCACACTCTCTCCAGACGACTCGGAGCTGTCCACTGGAACAAAGAGGAGGCTGGATTATACACATGTTCAATGGATAAATGGTCAATTCCATCAACTTCCCTTTAGAAATGTCCTTGGTTGCCCTGACCCAAACCTGTGACTTTGTTTGAGAGAAATACAACTGTTAAAGTATCTCCAGGTTCATAACATTTTGGTTATGTATGAGTTACAGTAAGAACATATTAAAGGACACATGTCATGCTTTTCCGGTTATTACCCGTCCCCTTGTGTGTTATGAAGGTTTTTATGCATGTAAACGGTGTGCAGAGTCAAAACCCTCAAAGTACACCCTGTAGCGAGTAAAACTCTAACACTCTAATACCTCCCCAAAACGCCTCGTTGGAGATACATCATTGTCCATTTGATTCTTCCGGGTACGGGGTGACGTAACCCCGTACCAATGACCAATCCACGGACTTCCTCACACACACACACAGTGCAGGCAGCGCCATATAGAGAGATATTCTATCTATATGGCGCTGAGTGCAGGCAGCTCTGCTGATTTCTCCTCCCTGGCTGCAGGCTGATAACAGACAGTTGGGATCGCAACGAAATTCTCTCTGCAGACCCATTCTCACAGCGTTTATCAACCTTTTTCTTACTCAATATCAAGCCACACTTATTGTTTTTACTTCGGATGTGAGTTTGTGTTTGCTCAGGATGAGTTTGGCTGTGTTTCGCTGTGTATCCTAAACAAGGAAACACCTCCACGGAGCTCAGCGCGATTCACAACGTCCCGACCAATCAGAGCACACTGTGCTCACAGGGAGGGTGGGGGCTGGAGCTTTTGGAGCTACAACGAGCCGTTAAAGGCAGAGAGTGAAATTCAGTGAATACACGTAGTTTACAGAGATGCTGTATGAGAAACCAATGTGAGTTTGGAAAAATGCACAATATAAATCTATTCTAGTATACCTCAACAATGGAATTATGATCAGTGGAAATGGCCATGACAAGTCTCCTTTAACTAAACTCACGCAATAAGCTGTGACTCCCACTCTCATGGTCCAGGTCGTCCTCCTCTATAACTCCAGAAGGCAATGCGTATCCTCCAAGGCCCCCCGTAACCCCCCTCCTCTCTGGCCCACACAGGTATCCCCCGGGAGACAGGGAACCTCTTCCAGATGAAGAGGAAGAGGACGAGCTGCTTCCTGAACCACCAGATTTGGGTCGAACCCCAAGAAACCCATCCAATGGCCCATGTGAGGACAGCACTCTGTTTCCTGCAGTGAGAGAAAGTGGGTGATACGATCAAAAAAGCCAAAAGTTATATAAAGCCTATTGTCACCTTCATCAATGACCATTTAGTAAAATAGCTAATAGTTGAATTGATGGGTTTACAGGTCAGAATCCATGCATCAGGCACAACGTCAATATTGCATCATCACTAAAGAAGAGCTGAAGCCTCCACCTCTCCAGACTGGAAATGTCCGCCACTGGGTGGATTCAGTGAGTACACATGTAGTTGTTTTTTAGTTACTTTAGCAGGATTGCAAGGAAATGGTAGTTATTAATAGTATGAATTCCCCTCAAGGTCATGGAAAGTTTTGGATATTTGAAAAGGTGTGTGTAGCCTATATTGTACTATGGTAAGATGTGGGATGTTTACTTGTTGCTCATTCCCAAATGCTTGAATGTCTTTCTGCCCAGATAAACAGAGTGGCAAAGTGTATCACTACACTGGCAGCTGTTAGGCAGCATCAACAAATAAGGTTAGCCTACAAAATTAGCATTTTGTTGGTTTGCATTGGCGAACAGGCTGGCCTGAGTCAATCTGCTGGCCTGGCCACTGCTGCTGAATAAAGTGAAAGCCATGAATCAGTGAGTACACCTATTTTACTGGCAGTATTTGCTTACCTCTTCCCATCTGTACATAGTTGACAGCTCTGTCATTGATTGCTGCATCACTGGGCTGGATGTCCATGAACGGCTTGTTTCCAATACCCATGAACACTCTCTCCTGCATACGGACCTCTAAAAACACATGTGAAATAATCAGTTCAAAATGTTTTCAAATTCAGGAATGGAAATTAAAGCAAACGCAAGCAGAGGTGGAAGAAGTTCTCAGATCTATTACTTTGGTATAGAACGCAATACCACGTTGTAGAAATTGTGGAAATGCTCACTTGTTTTGAAATATCAAGAAAGATAGGTACACAGGAAGTGCAAATGTCATTATAAGGAAAAGGCTCTATCAATAGAATAGAATAGAATAGACTATATCTTTATTGTCATCATACAAAGTACAACTACATTTATTTGGCAACTCTCACTGCAGTAGAGAGAGCCATCAACAACTCTCTATTACATTAACCTCACACATGTTATAATATTTGTAATGGACAGTACAGTATATTGGCATGAAGACATTTCATGGACATGTCATGCCACACCAGTGCGTGTTTATGTATTAGTGTCCATTTGTCGGTACCTCTGTTGTGTACTGCCTGCTCCCACAGGATACGCTCCAGGTCCTTGGTCCAGGCGTCCTTCGCCTCCCGACTGGCTGATTGAAGTGTGTATGTGTCCTGGGTTTTCCTCTTCCTGAACCAGATCTCAAAGCACAGGCCGCTGTCACCACTGTTTTGGGTCATGCCTACATCTGACGTCTAAATGGAAGCAAAGACAAACTAGTCATGTAACATGTTAGTTTGAAATATGAAAAGCATGAAAAGTACAGACAATTCTCTACAACTTGTTTTATTTGACTTGTGGTGTTTTGCAGTGTTTCAGAAGATTTACTAAACTTCTGGTGAGGACAAAATAAAATAAATGTTATGTTAGTGGTGGACAATGTGTGAATCTCATAGGAAGACAGCCCCTAAAGTAAAGTGTAGTGTATGGGGCCAAAGCTACAGTGTTGTTAACCTGGAGGTCGAGGTTGGCTCCTGAATAGTTGCTTATAGTTGCAGTTGAAAGCTTCTCCAAGGTGTTAATGGAGTTTATGCTGATTTAGGTGTTAGTCTATTGTTTGCTCTCTTGTTAAAGTACTTAAATATTAGGTGAAATATATACAATTTAAATCCATGAATTTCAATTATATTTAATGTACTGCAATGTTTTATTTTCTCTAATTAACATTCTAGTACAGTATCCAAATGTTCCTTGGGATATTATTTCTAACGCGATGCTCTAAATGGGACAACGTTCAATGCCAATTTTCATGTCCAGGCCTCTCCTTGAACTTAGGTCATTTGTAATTTTTCTCGAAGAATGACGTCTGTAAATAATGAGTAGGTGTATTGCAAGAGAGTTGTAATTGCCATTCAGCATGCACACGCATTTAGGGAGTTATCCTGTTCCAACAAAAGAGGAAGTAGTAGTAGATCTGAAACTGTTATTGCTTAATTTACTGCTACTTCTGGCTCAGACCTTACATCATATATTTTAACTACGCAAGGAATAAAACTTGAAGTGGTTACCTGTTACAAATACCTTGGTATCTGGCTTGATGATTGTCTCACTTTTAAACGACATGTCAATAACCTGCTTAAAAAACTGAGGGTTAGACTAGGTTTCTTCTACAGGAACAAGTCCTGTTTCTCGCTCGAGGCCAGAAAAAGGCTAGTCACTGTGACCTTTTTACCTGTGCTGGACTATGGTGATCTGATTTATATGAATGCACCTGCCAATTGCCTGGTCAAGTTAGATGCTGCGTATCACAGTGCACTGAGATTTGTGACAAACTGTAAAGCGTTAACTCATCACTGTACCCTGTATGCAAGGGCTGGTCTGCCTTCACTAACTGTACGGAGGCTCAGTCACTGGTACATTTTTATATATAAAGCCATGTTAGGGAAACTTCCATCCTACATCTGCTCCCTGATCTCACGGCGAATTGTAAGTGGCTACTGCCTGAGATCCCATGCTGTGGTTTTATTAAATGTGCCAACTGCTAGGACTGTCTTAGGGAAAATAGCATTTAGATGCGCAGCTCCACTGTCCTGGAATAGTCTGCAATTAAAATGGAAACTGAGCAATCTGGTGCCACTAAATGTTTTTAAAGCTCGGTTGGATGCTAGTGAATCGGAAGCTGTTGGTACCTGTGCATGTGGATAGTTATGTAAATTGTAATCCCTGTAATGCTACTGTATGATGTCCTTTTGTTGTTCTGTTTATGTTTTTAATGTTTCATGTGGAACCTACTTGAGCAGGTCTCCCTTGAAAAAGAGATCAATGATCTCAATGGGATACAACCTGGATAAATAAAGGTTTGAAATGAAATGAAAATCAAGTTGTGTGTGTTCAGCAAAAAGTGTACCTTGAATGACTGTTTGTAGATATATGTTTCATTTCCTACATCCGTCTTCCTGGTTTTGCTAAAAAGAATGAGTTCTTGAAAGAGAAAAATGTGGCGTAAACATTTTTTCTTCCTGAATGTGACCAAGAACTCATCCTGCCGTATCAGCTGCCCCTGCTCCTTCAGATTGACCTGCAGTACACACAAAAAGAGATTATGGGGGGTTATGTATGGTATTCAGCAAAAAGAAATAGAAAATACCAACATCAACTGTACAAATTATTTATCAATATGATGCACAATCAGCCTTTTCTCCCAAAAATGATTATTTTGTTTTAAAATTCAGCTGATGAGGACATACACATTTAATATAAATGCCTAAGGCAATTTCAGTTAAAATCACTACAATGTATTTTCTGACAATGTACAGAGACAATAACCTTTATAAGCTAACCAACACAATTCCTATGAATCTGCTCTTTTGGTAATGGAGCACATCCCAAGCACACAGCATCTCCCTTCACATTCCATGGAAGCATGATGACATTCTTTCTCTATAATTAATCAATTTTATTTCTTCCACCCAGATCAATCCCTGTTGACCTAAGGTATTGCACAAATCCAAATCCACAATGATGAATGTTTTGGAAAACTGTACTCCTTCCCCTCACTTAATGTAATGGATGAATGCTGTCATCTGGCCTTGTCTGTACCTGTCTATGCTTTCCCCATCAAAGCAGAGATTTCAATGAACACTGCTCACTGCTGGAGGGTGATAAGTCATTCTTATCACAGTATACTATATCTATAGAGCATAACTGTATAGGTATGTAATGTATACAGGACATGAAGACCTCCCCTTCTTATGGTCTTTCTTAATATTTCGGTTATATAACACAACATTTTAAAGGAACAAGCTGCCTATCTTCATTAAAAACGCACCTGTTCACCATGGCCTTTGACCCCTAACCCATCACAGTCCCCCTGCTTCCACTCCCATTGCTATTTATTTAATTTGTACTTTATTATTTGCCCCTTTTGTTTGTTTGTTTGTTTGTTCACCATGTAAAGCAGCCTTGGGTCCCTTGAAAGGCGCTATACAAATGTAATCTATTATTATTGTTACTATTATTATTATTATTATCTTACGTCGCAGTGGTGGATGGCGTCCATTGCCAGCAGGTTGTTGCCATGGCGAAGTTGGAAGTGGACGACCTCCAGGGCGGCCTTGACCTCAGCCATCTCTCTGGTTTGTCCCGGACCGCACTCCCTCATCATGTCCTGCAGCAACAGGCTGTACTTACTGATCCGCTGCACGGGCTTCAGCAGGTACGACCACAGGTCCATCTTATCCCCCAGCTTCAGCTGCTTCTGCTGCCGTACGAGGAGAGGAGACAACGCTTCATTATTGTCCAGCAGTGCTAGAAATGTACTTTTAAAGGTATTAGAATAATGGTAAAGTCTAGGTGGAGAACACTTTAAAGGTAAGTGGAGAGACAGACATCCATCATGACTAAAATAGGGTAAAGAGACGCACCCCCATTCTTAGAAGGTCACTTATATTTATTAGCAATGCTATCAGCTTGGCTCAGAAGTGGTATAAGTATTCAGATTATTTTCATAAGTAAAAGCAGCAATACCACGGTGTAGAAGTTCTCAGTGTCAAGTAAAAGTCCTTAAGTATACATCTTTCTTAAGAATCAAAAAGTAAATCATTATACCAACTGGGCAATTTCTGAATACTTTATAACGTATTTTGTTTTAGTTAAAAGACTATGTACTGGGGTGTATTCTAATCCATGACAAAACATTGTAATATATTAGTTGATTTATATTTTTTTGCATTATAAATCTCAACATTAAAAGTAACTCAAAGAACTGCTTGGTCTAAGTACAAGCTCACATAGCAGCTAGTCGATTCTTATCTTGAGAAAACAAATCATTATCTCCAGTTTTCTTAAAGAAAAGTGAGGATGTGGTTTTGAGAAGAGAAATGGGAATAGGAATGAAGAGCAAAAAGAGGATGGCAGTGCTTCTCACCTTGAAGAAACCCTGTCCATGATTAATGAGAAGACAATCCGACTGTGGTTTGTTCTTGCTGTAAAGTGCATACAAAGCAAAGCTGTCTCTCTAAAAAACAGATGAAAAAGAAAGAACGTTAGTCATCTTCATCATCGGCAACAAAAGAATATGCACACGTCAAACTGAAATGCAGACTAAACAGTGTATAAGAGCAGTTCACATGTGTGTCGATTGTACTTCTCAATTCCAATAAATGTGTTAAATAAACCGTTTTTAAATTGGAAATAAAGGCATTGCATTGGTCTACAGTCAGGACACATCTGGCAGGGCTTTTGTTGGCAATCGATTATGCTTAATTATTATGGTTTTGGCTCAAAACAGGAAACCATGGACGACTTCTCGACATTAACGTCTCACATCTGCCTTGACATAGTTTCGTGATGAAAACAACAATAACTCAGGTCCTACCGAACTTGCAGGCTATAATTGATTTGTAATACTTCTTTGCACCGTTAATATTGCACATACATGTCGTAAGAAGCAGCGTCCCACTCTGAATGGCTCATCCACGCAGCTCTCCAACTCTTTCAGGAAGTGATGCCGGTGGAAGTCGTGGAGTTTTTCTAAGTTGCCGAAGATGCTCCCCCTCTGGCCTCGGAGGTCCTGAGGGACGTCGGGCCTCTCCAGCTCGGGGAAGTAGTGATCTCGAACATAACCCAGGGCCTTGACGTACTCCCTCTCTGTGGACAGCAGCTCCTCCATGATCCTCCGCAGTTTCCTGTTCCGCATACAGGAAATGGAAAGTGTGAATGTGAAGCTCATAATCTAACCCAGGTGAGCTTGGGATCAGTTTGATGTATTTGTGCGGGTATGACAGTGTTGCAACTACAGAACAACTGGGCCATTCATGAATATAACCTATGTAATTTCCTGTAATGTCATATACAGCATCTCACTGAGATTTTAATTACAGCTGAGGCAGGGGGGTTTACTTACAAAACATTGCTGCCATTGTTTTCTGTTGGTGTGAGTAATGTCTCTGGGGTCTTTAAATCCTTAGGGCTCTGTGTAGAAGCCGAGCATCCTCCACCCTCCTCTTCATTACTGTCTGTTTTTGACTCGCAGCTCAGGTTTCCTGACCGCAAACTCTCGTTATGGGAAATGGGCAGATTTTGGACGGTCTGCAGATTTGGTTCCAGTGGCTGACAGTGTTTGTGTCTCACATTTAAAGGTGAAAGGCCAAAGACGCTTGTCAAATGAGAGCTCGCACATGAGCCCTCGCTCAGGGACCGACCCAAAGGTTGGTGCAATGGGAGATCATCGCCCTCATTAATTGAGTCTGTTCTCCTCAGATCTTCCTCACTGTGATGTGCTCTCAACATTTGTTTGGTTTCTTGAGGACATTGGCCGTTTTGTGGAAAAACTGGAGAATTGTTTTTGATTTTAACTTCTTCTCCGTGTAATTTATGTGCTTGGGATTCTCCTCCCTCATCATCTTTCAAGTCCTGTTTTGAATCGTGGTTGAGGCATGCAGCAGTGGTGCTATCTCCTTCACTTTTTGAGATATTGACGACCTCTTTCTGAGAGGTTGGCTGCTGTCTCAGGGAGCATTCGTCCCCCAACTCACTCCCTTTCTCCTCCTTCTCTACTCCTCCATATACCTCTTGAGGGTTTGCAGCTGTGGTCTGCTGGATCTGGTTCTTATCTACGCCATTCTCCTTCTTTTGCCTCTCCTCAAGACGCTGCCTAACTTCTTGGCACTCTACCAAGGATGCATTCCACACTTTCATGAGCCCCGAGGGCCCTGATCCCACAGCACAGGCCTTAGCTTTCACAGCCTGGAAATGCAGGGTGGAGAATTCACCACCTAATCTCTCTACATACATTTGGAGTGTTCTCAGGGTCTGCGCTGAGTAACACCCTGGCTCTACCTGCTCCAGAAAATGACTACATTCCTTGGCCAAAGCAGACGCCTAGAATGAAACAAAGAAAAAGGGAATTTTAAAGTTAACAAAAATCATATGTTGGCAAACGGCAAGTGAAGAAAAAGGACAATTTAATTTGAAATGTCAAATGGATGAAAGATGATAAAACACAAACCTGGTCACAGAAGCGGTGCACATGCACCAGTGTGTTCAGTTCTTTGTGCCTCTGTTCTGCCCGCACCATAAAATCATCCACATTGGATTTGAAAGTGCTGAGCAAAGTCCGAAAAACATCTGATGCAGGACTGGACTCACTGGCCCCAACTAGTCCCTCTGCCTCCGTCACCAGGGTCAAGGCGTACTGTTGTTTTTCCTGTAACAAATAATAAGATGTCAAGTGGAAGATTGATTTCCCGTTGCTACTTCTATGGTCCCTTAATGTTAACAGTGAAGTAATTACAATTTTTGGAAATAAAAAAAAGAAAGAAAAACCTTTGGTATGTAAAAACTAACAGACAGCCAAATAAAGGCAATTTTAAAAATGTTGTTATATTGCTGTAATACCTTAGACTCCGCGTGAAACACATCAAAGTGCTGCAAGGCCTCTTCAGTGCACATCAGGGACTCATTTGTTGTGTAAGAGTTCTTCAGCCTCTGCTCGCCTTCTGCATTGAACCATATCCCAGCCTGCAAGACGTAATGTAGGATTGCACAATGTTACAGTTAACTTGGCACTGTGAGTGTAGCCTTACGCTTGTTATTACGGAGAAACAGTTAAATTAATGAGAGCAAAAGGAGACAAACTTGAATCTCTCTTTATAGAAACACTTCATTAGTAAAGGTTTCCTCACATATTGTAGATTTGAATTGTTGTGAACCTGGTGAAAGAACTTGTATTACCGTGCTAATGTTGGCCTCCGTCTCTCTGAGCCTGAAGAGGAGCTCCAGCTGCTGCAGTGACTCATTCGATCTCATCACCAGGGTGTGGAGCTTCTCCTCCACCTGGTTATACAGACTAGTCACAGACTCCAGAGCATCTCTGCAAGGACAGTGAAGAAACAATAAAAAACTATGAGACAAATCACACGCAACTGGGTTATTTAGTATCATTTGTTATTTCAAGTGTATTAATGGGCTAAAGCAACAATTGATGAGATACAGTAGGAGCACTTCAGAAAAGGATAGTTGTTATGATTTGAGTTGTTGCTCATATGTTATGTGAGTCATACTGTAAGTTAATGAAATAACAAGCCCTTCACTTGCTTATAGCCTGTATAAATGAAAGAGGAATACTGCTGTTATTACAAAAAAGCCTAGCATAAATAATATATATCTGTAAAAAAAAAATCTGTGGCTGATGCTTTAATTGGTAAATAGTCATTATAGCACTACATTTGAAAGTGAACTATTTCTTAAGTGTTAAAGTACAACTGCTGGTTCAGTGGATTATTATTATTAGGATCACCTGTATGTTGTTGTTCCTAATATTAGTATGTGTACCTTTCTTTACATTGTTGTCTATAATTTATCTCACTTTCTGTAAGATTGCAGGGGGTTAGGGATTAATTTAAAATGTTCAAAGTGGAATTTATAATGTGATTTAATCATTTTGTAAAATCCCAATAAGCATATTAAAATAAAATAAAATAAAAACAGCAAGGCCATTTATCTCTGTGTTCTGCCTGGCACAAACATCTGAAAATAAATAAATGTAAATATGATCTGATACCTGTAGTCCTCAGACTGGGGAAACCTGAACTCCTCCCTCCTCATTCTGGCTAGAACGGCCCCCCCTTCTCTTTGCAGGGTCAACATTCGAGTGTCTTCCAGCACCTCTTTCATTGAGGCCCTCTGTTCCTGAATGCATTGTTGCACTTCCTGTAGCAGCCACACCAAAAGCAAAGTCAACACCCATGAGCTATTTGGAAATGTGCGGTGCACTAATAACATTACTTCACACTGTGACCTTGTATATCCTACCTGCGCTGTGTCTAAGTTCTTACTGCCATCCACTTTCTTTATGGCCTTCTGCAACAAGCTGTCGGCTCCTCGCAGGTCAGTCATGAAAGAAACCAGTCTCTGAAATGAATTAAATGTAAAACTTAGTAGAAGTGGAAACAATTGTACATTGTTAGAGCTCTGAGGTGATGAGTTATCTGCCCTGTTCTGCTGACAGCATCACAGGCAGTGTCATCCAGAGGCCAAGAGCTGACGCAGTGAGGTGCACGTATAATCTAAAAACAGGAGACTGCCTTCTGTGTGCTAGCAGGGAAAGACGCCAGACAAACAGAGACACAGGAGAATAGTGTCTCAGACCTGACTGCTACTGTTAATTAGACTTCCTTAACAACACTCTGAGTAGCTACTACATGAAGCCATTCCTCAGGACTTTCCATCTGGAACATTAGTGCTCTTGATTCACAACCTATTGGACTGTGACCCCGAAGCTTCACCTACTAGTTACATATTTGTGAATGGTACTCTGTTAGATTAAATTAAATGTTTTCCTTCCTTCTTATAATGTTTTTAGGGACCTGAAAATGTAAAATGATCCAGAAATTCACAAACAAAACGCAAAAGATGAAAGAAAGGAAACAAATATACAATATACAGTGTTGTAGATAAGAAACTTTAGCTTCTTCCATCTGACCTGCAGTTTACAAATGATATTCATTTTACTCAAATAGCACATTTCATGCAAAGATGCTTTCCAAAGTGCTTAACATGCCAGGATCAGATGAAAATGAAAATTAACGATAAAAAAAAAACCAATGCCCTAATGTACAAAAACCTAGAAGTAGTTTGGTTTTGAATACTTTAATCATGCATGAATAACATCAACATTTTACTTGCAAACAATTTGCCCTTTCACATTCAATTCAGCTGAAATAGTGTATATTTGAAGAGCCAGTGAGGGTTGTACTGATCAGTTTCGACAAAAATAAAAAATATTTTGGAAGTCAGTAGTTTACACTATAATGAATAATCAAATTCATATTTTGATCTTCGTACTTTCCTATTGTGACCGCAGCCTTCTTCCACTCAAATACCAAAGTTAAATGTTGCATTAAAGAATGATAGAGGTGATGGATGTTTAGTGAGGGCGTGCACATCCGTCAGTGGGATAACTGCGGTCGAACAACATCCTCCTCTGAAATAACAGGAAACTCCACAGTTTATCAACGTGATTGTGGTTTGTGAGTGAATGTGCAGTACCTGATGAAACTGCAGCCAGTCGGTGTGACTGTACGTAAAGGTCCCTCCAAGGTCAGAGGTCAGCTGGGAAGCTTCAATTGTCTTATTGAGGGCTTTCATTGAAGTCACAATTTCCATCTTATAGAAACAAAAACAAAAAGGCGAGGTTAGGCATGTAGGTAAGAGTTATCGCTAGTGTCAAATCAAGAGAACAATGGAGAACAAGGAAGAAGTTTGAATTCCTGACCTGTAACCCTGGCTGTTTTTCAGGTCGCGGACAAGTGTCCTTATCCACCAGTATCACGATACTGTGGACAGCATGGAGAGCTTGCTCCTGCAGCAGATCAGTAAGTCAGTCAGGTACAGACAAACCATAGACTATCATGTGTTATAATTCAACATAATGTAAACTGGTTACTCTGATAATTTAGATATAAGATTTGTCATAACAAAATACAATGTGTACTCTTATTGACCTTCCCTCTGAATTGAAAAAGAAAATGTCCAAGTACAATAGTCCAACAGTGTGTTACACTGGTGTAAAAGTATATCTGAAAAAATGGAGATTGCGCCCTCTAGTGCATTTTCTTTACTGCAGTGCTAACAAACCCCATGTACGTATTTACTCAGTGTTCTACAAAGCAAAACTCAACATCTTCCTTATCTGTGAATCAAGGAACACGATAGTTTACGTCTGTCATCATCTGATGATGTGTGAGTGTTTTGGGGTGAGTGCAGGTATTGTTGAGTTGGACGAGTGCATGCAGGGTTTTTTTTTTTACCTGGGCCATCAACAGAGCTTTGTAAAAATGAAGAGAAGGAGGTTTCTTCCTGGCATTGATGACCAAAGTCATTCCTAGCTCTCGAACTTCTTTCCTAGCAAAACATTTAATCATGTTAGTACACATTCAAACATTATGACTTCATAACAGTGGTCTTCATTTAATAAAAAAAAGGCTTTTAGGCTTATTAATTCCACTTCTCAAATCGGTATTTATCTTCTTATGTCTCTCTGACATCCCCATAAACACACTTTTCTTCACACATTCTTTTAAACACTTTGACGCCTTCACACTCCCCTCTTAATGTCCCCTTCTTGGGTTACTGTTGTGAGAGCCTACCTCAGAAATGGCTGCTAATTCTAGCAAGGCGCTGCATACCAGACAGTTGGCAGCCAGCCTGGCCAGGGACTGTTATGGTATGGCTCTTTAGTGGGGACAGAGGAAGGCCAAGCTATCTGGTAGAATGGTTTTATTAACTTCAAAGACTCCATTAGCCCAGTGCAAACAAACAACACTTTAAAAAGAGTGTGCTAGTAGAGTAGAGGGGGAGAAGTGACACTCCTTAGGGTCAGAACAGGTCATAGTTACTGCCGGCTGATCTCAAAGTAGCTTCTGAAGGAGGCAGAATTATTAAAAGTTGTGGTTCTGAATAAAATATGTTGTTTTATTAGTTGTAAAGCCATCAGGATGACCTATACATGATGACTTATTCAGGCTGGATGTAAGAACGTGTATCACTTTATTCAAAACCTGAACTGGAGAGATTTTAAATGGTATCTGCTGCCCTCTTGTGGTCAGAGCTATTCTTGCATACAGCATACATTTGAGCAGCTACTCTTTGTGGGTCTATATTCCAATTTGGTCTTCTTTGCTAGAAAAGATATCCAGTTAATATATTTCCAGTACCTTGGTATGGCGTGTAAGTAGAGCAGTAATTCACAGACATTCTGGGCTGTTGAAAGAGGGGATGTCCACTCCACGTTGCCAACATGGACCTCCAACACTGCTCTTCCTGTTCGGTCCCTACTGCCTGAGAGTGTACAAGACAAATAAAAAAGTAAGTGACATATAACTGAGACTGATGAAAGAGCCTGAGTCATTGTTTAATGACAAATGCTGCGATCATACAGAGAACATTATTTGGGTGATAGAAATCAAGTACCTGGCAAACAAATAAGGCCGAGTCCAAGCAGACCACCGATGCGTCTGAAACACGAGTCCTCAGTCTTTGGAGGCTGAGGAGCGTCAGAACTTGCAGACGGAAGTTGAACTTGTTGAGGAGATGGCCTTTCTATCTTTGAGAAATTGAGTTTTGAGTCTGGTCCATCTGCAGTGAAGGGAGTTCCACTCTTACTTGATTGGCAGTCTGCATTACAGTAAACACAAACATAGTTGTCTTCCCACAGGAAATGCATGGAAAACCAAATAAACCAAAATATAATTGGATCATTGCCAGAAAAAGTCAGTGTGTGTATTTTTTTCTCACAACATAATTTTGTTTAATTTATCAGACTTTGTCTCTAGAAGATGTTCTTCAAAGACAACGCGAACATTTCTTATAAACTATCAACTCCCTATTTTGCCCAGAAACGTTGTCCTTTTATAGCAACAGTAGTTATTCAATTCTTTATCCGGAAATCTTAATGGTCATCAATCAACATGTTCACAACTGCACAGCTGCAGACAGCATTTAACATTGGACATGGTTTCTGTAACAAAACTCTAAAGTGGCCTTGCGACTAAGCCTGGCTTTGATTTCAGACATCCTAATTGGCCTCCCTTTAGGGCCAACAAAGACGTGCCTGTGTTCTCTCCTTGCTGCTTTAACAGTCCATGACAAACATGTCTCAAGTCAAGATCTCTACATGCCCCTCTGAGGGCATAAAGGTGCATGCCAGCGGGTGCAGGGGACACAGAGACCTCCTTCTTGCACGTTATGCTGTCTCTCTGCATTAGAGGAATGCTCTGCTCTTTCTTTTTACCCAAGGGGTTCAGGCCCTCCCCTTCATGGGGGTGCAGCATGCTATTTCCGTTCACTCCCTCTGTTATGGGAATAGTGTGAATGTAGCTGTACTGCTGAAGAACCAAGACAGCAGTGGGAGAAGATCATACTCAAGTCTGATCTTTGACCTTTGAACCCTTCTCTCTAAAGAGCCTTCATGATCTCAGTGAAGCGCATTCCTCCAAGCACGCGAGGTCACGGTCGAGTTTCAATCAGTCAGTTTGGCGTGAATGTTCAGTTGCCCTTCAAGCATTTAGCAACAGATCATAACAAATGGCTGTGTGTGCAGTAATAACAATGTACAACATATGTGTGTGGGTGGAGAGAAAAAGAAAGTAGTTTGGATTATTAGCCTTAACTTGTCTAGTCTGCTTACCTTTTTTAGAGGACTTCAGTCTTTCCAGCTTCAAAGTCACTTGATCCAACAGTTCACCTTTCTTACACTGCATGATGCTTGTGATTGTGTCAGGGCAGATATCACTGTGGCTCCTGTTGTTGACTTTATAGAGAAGTGGACTCCCTTTGGAAGTCTCTGACACCGTGGACAGAGACCTAACCTTAACTTTTTGTTTTCCTGATGGTGTCACAACCTCCACTTTCTGAAGAGCTTTATCATCACCGCCTGACCCAGGGTGCGCACTAGCATTATGTGCTGTCTGTTGGGAAATAAGTTTCATCTGAATTTTGTGACTATGGCTCAAACCAGGTGTTGATTTCAAGATCTTGGGGGATTCCTTCATGAGGTCTTCCGATTCAGAACTGGTAGGAAGATCTTTGAGTTGAGATGCAAAGGTCTCTGGTGTTGGTTCAGGACAGCAGTGTCTGTATTGGCAGCGCTTGTTACTCATCACAGGTTTATTACAGTGGTTACAAAAGTTTCCAAGTTTGTCTCTTTGAGCTTCAAATGCTCCTTTGGATCCTAACTCTGTCTCTTCACAAAGGCTGACCTCCTCCACGGCAGCCAGGAGCTCCACACTCCCTCTCTCAAAAGCGACTGGGTTTCTCAGTGCTGCCACGTAAGATTCTCTGTACCTACACTTCAAGTCTTGGTCAGCTGACTCAGGCTCAAGCCTTCCCTGGCTGCACGGTGTACAAGGCTCCTCTGCATACTGAAGGGTGCCTTCACAGGGAACATTATTCCTAAGTGGTACAGGTGGTGGTGGTCTGACAGGTTTAAACAATACTGAATTGGGTGGATGTGGATGGCTCTGTTTATCCACAAACCTCTTCCCTTTGGCAATATCCACCAGATCCACATAATCACCTTCAATCTCTCGATAATTATGACTGTCCCAAGTATTAGGAGAAACCCAACCCACAGGTTTGATTAAAGGTCTGGAGCATGATTTTGGGGTTCGTCTTTCATGATCCATTTTGACGAGTTTGGAAGAGCTGTCCACCGTTTTGAAAGAAGCTGTCACCCTGTCTTTGGCAGGACAAAACATGGCTTCCATCGGGAGGGTGGAGGAGTTGAAATGGGAAGGAACAGAGATCTGTTTTGGCTCAGGAGGAGTTTCTCGATACGTGGGCAAGATCTTAGGCTTGTCTAAAAACTCTGGGTTGGCGATTTCAGCCCAGGGCAACTTGATCACTCCTTGATCCGTGCAAAGTAAGCAACGGGAAAGAGGAGTTCCTTGGCGTCCTTCATTGATTTCCTGCAGCCATTCCTCAGTGAAGATGCAGGGGTAGGAAGTCTCAGGAACGGGGGTCTCCTCCACTTCTCGACAGCCCTCCTCCAGAAGACTTTTGAGGACAACGCGAGCAGCTTGTTCCCCGAAAGGCTCCACCTGCAGATAGAAGTCTCCAGGACGCAGCAGCAGAGGGTTCACAGGTGCTAACTGGATGACGGTTTTGTCATGGAGACACAGAGGCCAGCCCTCACAGCGAAAAACCACATCAGAGTATCCAGCCTAGAAAAAATAAAATAATAAGTTGTCTGTGTCATTTTGGTTTTATTTACTCTACCTAATACATTTTTATCATATTTTCATTTATGTGTAAGTTCTTGTCTTCTCCTATTTTAAAATATTAGTCATATTTAGTAGATTGTTAGAATACACTGTAAATATTTATTATTTTGATGACTTTTAATGCATAGAGCATACAAAGAGCTGAGTTATCTGTTACCAAGTAAACACAAGATAAGCTGCAGCTTGGAAATGTATCATTGTTTATAAATGTTATGTATGGTATGCAACTGGATCTGCACTGTAACACACCCAAATGTGTTTATACATGGATAGAGACGCGTATTCCAGGTATGCAAGAGCGAGTAAAAAAAAGGGAGATATTCATAATATTTATATGAAAAAAGTTTATGTTATTGTATCTCACTCTTTTTTGTATTCCTCGTCTTCTCATATGAGGATTAATCATGCTTTGATTTTTGGAACTACAGTTCCCATGGGGACTTTGCAATTGTAAACAGGAAGTGTAATGTCGGTAAGGACGCTATGGGCTACAATTTCAACCTGCTTCAGCCCACTCCATTTCTTTTTGGCAGCATTTAAAGTATGCCGAATTAGTTATTAGCTGTTCTTTGTGCATTGTACCCAAGGTTGTATACAATTCATAGTGGAATACTTTGATACTGAATACAACTAAAAACGCAATGCTTTTTCAGGGAAGTTTTGCACTTATTAAGAGCGTCTTTTTGCTGAGATTTCCTAAGCACATGTGGACGTGTATTCGCTATGGACAGCAGGGATATACAATCTTTGGAAGGGTAAGTCAAAGCGAATGTAAAACACCCTTAGTGGGAGCTTTATTAAGCACACTTGTTGATCTATTGCATTCCAAAAAACCGAATCCTGTAGTTCCATGAAGTCTACTTTAGTATTTTTGTAGGCCTACACTTATCCTAACAGTAGGTATTAACTTCAGTTTGTAGTGATATTATAAGCATTGAGGAGTGTGATGTGAAATTTATTATATTGGGAGGTCTTTACATTTTTCTGTCATTTCCATGTATGTAAAAATAGAGGACAAAGACACTAGAAACACATCTTAATCACCCACTTTGATCTCGATAATAAAAGTCTAATTTAATTTACACATTTCAGACAATATCCACACAACCCTTTCTGTAAAAGCCTGGAATACATGGGTGAATACTCACACATGCTGCCTGTTGAACACTCTCCAGCAGGTGTTTGGAGGGAATGAGGAAGTCCAGCAGACACTGTAAAGCATCACCGTAGTAACGTTCCTCTATGGTGCGAAACAGCTGGCAGAGGACGATGGGAGCTGTGGCCTCGAAAGGAGGGAAGAGGGCCGAGAGGGCGCTCTGGATGGACGAGTCCAGAGATTCAGGGTTCTGGAGGTCAAGAAGAGGTGCTGGTCGGTGAGATAAGGTTTGTGTGTATGATTATTATTGACTGTTAGACTCTGGCTAAACCCATGAAGAATACCAGCAACAACAAATCAATAAATCAAAGGCTACGAATAAAAATGATACAGTTAAACTTAATAACCACCTGTTCTTGGATGAGAAAGCAATCAATTCCATTTGATTCTTTTTGTGACTTTTGCATTTAATGTCTACTTTGATTTAAAGTATTAATGAGTCAAAGCCACAGGAACTATATCAAACCCTAGAACTGATATTGCAGGAAAATTAAAACCCTCTTCACTTCAAATTAACGCAATAAAACATCTGATGTGCACATAATGAAGGCTTGGACGGGAAGTTAAGGAGTGGTGTGATGTGCACATTCTTTTCAAATGAGTAATGAGTTTTTAATCAAGGCTCATAAATTGTAAAACATTCATTGTAATAAATCGTATATTACAGACTATCTTGTGTCATTGAAATAGCTGCCCTCAAACTGAAATCCTGTCATTGCAGTTATTAAATAATGTGGCATATAATCTGAATTTATTGGCCTTTTCCATCCAATGACATGTATTGTGCGAGTTCTGGTCAAATGTGTGTGAAAATATAGCAACCTGAGTGTGTAGTGTGGACTACACTTTTCAAAGTAAATGTCTTTTCTAACACTGATTTCTTTGAAGAAGCTCCACATGGTCAAGGGAGTACAAATACCCTGTAAATGCAAAACGACAGGACAGATATTTTTCTTGGCCTTTCACCCCTCGCTGTGCTCGTTTTGAATACATCAAAGAGGTTTTATTTGGTTTAAAAGCGATAAACCTTTGTGCATGAGTGCACTTTTTGGATTATGAACTGGGCCTACATGTATCAGTAAATGCATTATCATCTTTTACAAACTGAAACGTCCACCAAAAGATCAAATTCACCAAAAATGTAAACAAAATAATCTATTCACTTATCAAAAGGCTTTGAGGTGAATTAATACTGTCATCTTTAGGAGATCAAGAGGGGTATTTTGGTTGAACCTAATCAAAAGAGTATCTGGAGAAGATTAAGTCTGTCCTGCATGAGTATGTGCAACTTGTTTCATGTCTGGCCAGGATATGCTTCGTTTAAACTCCTATATTTGTAGCAGACCAGGGCCAGCGTCTGATCTTATTCAAAGTGACAAGAAGAAGCAAAGCAGAGAAAATAAATGCCCAGTCCTGTTAAAAATTACCATCAAAAAGCAAGTGCGTGAAACGACACAATTCTCTGTCATAGGAACACTTAGTGCTCATCTTTACTGCATGTAGAAATGTCCTTAGTAGATAAGCTGCCAACACCAGCTGTGCCACGGGTGACATCCAGCTAAACTCACAACCTATTTTCAGATGAAGAGAGGCCGTCTTCAAAGCATTTTTGGTCAACCACCTGATGGCATGACAGCCAGGCTTTTAATGCAATTGAATAAGCATTGCAAATACAGGACTTTTGATTTGATTGTGTAATACTGGAGATACTGTAAAACAAACTCAGAGTGTTACCTGTAGGTTGATTGTAAATTGTCATGTGAATCAAACAATTACTTTACTGAGGCGTGGCTCTGTGAGGCTTCGTGTAATTACATTTTTGCTTATGCAGGCATGCTTGGAGGTGAATACTAACCACAACAGCATGCTTCACAAACACAGTTGGGTTTAGCAGGTTTTAAGGCTTAACCACATTTACTACCAGCACAAATCTAAAGTACAACTAAGTCTGATTGATGTCATTAATATCAAAGGCATTTAGTCAAAAGCCAGACTATTTAACACAATTGATGATAGGGGCTTACTTAATAAAAGGAAACGATCGACAACGTTGTTTATTTGATATCTTTTAAGATCCTATAAAAGTGTATTTTTCTATAACGCCTTGTGTTTCTTTAAATAATGTCTTAATGGCTTTCTGTTTTGAAAGATGCTATACATATAAACTTGCCTTCTTTGTTTTAAATTTAGCCTGGGAGGAAATCTGTTCAAAATACGTGTTTAAAATACCTTTCACGTACTTGTCTGATGTTGGATAGGTGCACAGTACTTTTGAATATGTGTTCTAATAGCACCTATGGCACGTAGTAGTTCAGTACAAGGAATGACACCTTGTTATGAAATTAAATGAATAATATTCATGTTGAGTTTAAGGACTTGACGCTTCCTCTGGATCAAGACAGGTCTTAGCAGCTAACCACAGCAGGCGTGCTATTCATACAATCACTTCACAGTACCCTGCTGTGTCAATCTCCCAGCTCCACAAAGGAGTCTGTTTTTAGCCCCCCTCCTCATTTAGCTTGATGGCCTAACCGAGACCAGAGACCAGCCCAGGATAAACAGAAGGACCGCAGCTTCAAAGAGCTCACACTGGTTAGCACGGGGACTACTGCGCTCACTGCTTAGCTACGGATGCTTTTGGGAGCACCTTGGACAGCCATGAAACATTGGGAACAAAGGTCATAAAGTAGTTACATGAGTCACCAAATAATTCCACAACTCATACAACTTAGTTTAGTGTTTACATCCTCTGTTAGCTACACCTTTCAAACATTGTTTACATTTGAAATACAGGCAGTTTTGTACACATTTAGATAGATTCATCCACAGAATTAATGTAAGATGTTGGATCTTAATCAATATCAATATTTGACCACTCTTGCAAAGTTTTCTTAGTTCTTCCAGACATTGCATGTGCTCAGTAGAAAAAAATGCTTCCTTTTTGTGATTGTGCACATCTGTCACAATAGATTAGTCAATGAGAACAGAATACCTTCGAGGTTGGCTGTTGAACGGTAATGCAGCACAGCTGTCTTAGTCTGAATGCAGCCATTGAACTATGGGTTGTACTGTATGCTTTAAGGCTTACACTAAACCAGAGACATATCTTTTTCTTAAGTCACAGTTAAGAGATGGGGCATTTTGTTTTTACTCTAGATTTCATTCTGGAATTCACAACATATTCCAATCTCTCTTCTTTAGCCTGACTTTAAATCAGTCATTGAAATTCAGTCTTTGAAAAAATATGACTTGTTATCATAACATTACCTCAAAATCATTTGAGATGTAGACCTATTTTTGTTAACACTAGCTAAAATGACAAAACTCCTTAGCTTGGCTTAACTTCTTCTCAAAACAAAGATGGTTGAAAACACGACACGGGCTCCTCTCTGTGGGTGGTTGGCTGGTGATACTCATATAAGTGAGAACCACTTGAGATTTTACAAAGCGTTGCTCTGCTGGACCAAGCTCAGAAAGGCTAGCCAGCCAAATGAACTGAGAGTAAGGAGAGTGGGCTGCCGGCGTTGGGCTCTCCTCTGCATCTCATTATATCGCACAAAGTGCCAGACAACATGCAAAACAGGTTCAATGTACAAGGTTGTTTATTTGTCGAACTAGGTCTGAACTGATCTGTGAAAGGTTCTGCAGGAATTCCTCTAAGACAAAGCTAAATTATGTCCCTAAGTTCTTGCCAAATTCACCACTGGATCTAAAATACATGTCCAGAACTACAGTAAATAAACAACCTCTCTGTAAAACATAGTGTTATGGACGTGAAACCCTGACTGGCAAACATGCAAATATTCAGCATCTGGAACAATAAATACACAAATGGGGAAACTAAGTAACTTCATCTTCTTTACTTCTTATGATTTAGATTTCTCTCATTTGGCGGGTTGTACGGATCATTATTTACTTACATGACCTTTCCTTATTCAAGATATGTGTTGGTTCCCTCTAGTAGTTGTATTGAGCGATTTGGGCATTTAATGGAGATGAAGAGATTGCCAACCACATTGAAAATGTTATGTTAGGGATTAAAACAGCAATAAATGCAAGGAATACACGTGAGGCTCTGAGATGTATGCTCAGATTGTCTTTTAACTCCCATATTATTGTATAAGCTGACGTTTTATAATGTGCAGTACAATTGAAATGTCTCATCACACTTTTAGTCTTTTTGCTGTTTTGTCTGCATTCCTTTTGTGTGTTTAACCGTTCGTCCCATTACAAAAACTCCTGGTTAGCAGCAATTTGTTCAGTCTTGTGTGAGCACCCAGACACAATCACTGCCCTACATCCTACAATAACACAATGTGTCACTGCATGTCAGTGTGCAGTTTCTAGCTGAAGTTTCCTCATGTTGACAGAGTTGCTACTTCTTTTCCAGGGTATTTTCACTCCCACAATCAGCCAGAGAGAAGCATTCTATCGAGCTTAAATCCTGGACCTTTATCTTGGGCTGCAGATACGTTGGGACTTGATCGATGTCCAGCTGGCCGCACCCTCTATACATTTAACGCAAGGGAATTCCCTCTTTGCCCCTCATTATCCAGTGCAGCCGGTGATTTAACCCTAGAAATAGCTTCAGCTCCCAACAAAGATCTGTGTTTGACCTGAATTGGCATGCTAGCATGGACAACAGGCATCTGTCTTTGTCTTGTCCACCCTTCAGGCCCCCTGGGAGTTTTCGCCTTATTAAGCAGATAATTACAGGTTTCCTCCATATTGCCTTGGGCCTTGGCCAAAGAAAGTCTGGACCCAGATTTGAGCCACAGTATAAACAAACTGTCAAGGTGTGTAATAATGCACAATGTGTATATGTGTCATCAGCCACAAAGCTCAAAAGATTAGAGCAGGTAAGCTGACCAGAATGTGACTTTAAAGAAGATTAACTTCAACTAAATGGACAAAGTTCCTGATGCGACATTCTGTAAGGATTTGTTGATGTCTGTGTCTTTACTGGTCAACACATTTCTTTGAAATCCTCATAAGAAATGGACTGTCACGGCACCTCCGGGCTGAACCCAAAACATAAGAAGAAGTGACAGTTGTGTCAAGACCTGCCAGTAAATCCTGAAGACTGAGTGAATTCTGCAAGTACGGACATGAAGATATGTCCAAGAGTCTAAGATGACACACCACCAACTCAGCCATAGCATCAGCCAACAACAGCCGGTGACAAAGAGGAATGATGGGAAATGACACCTAACCTCAAGTAATATTGAGAAATATTACCATGGTAAGAAGAAAGTGAAAATGTGCAGTTTATACAGACTGGTTTGACACAAATCCTAAAAGAAGAAAGATGACAAGAGCAAGTCATATCATATAACAAGTTATCATTATCTGTCAGTTATTTCCTATCCTCCCTTTTTCCTCCTCAAACATTTGGTATCTCCAATTTGGCAGTGAGACAGTGCTTTCATTGTGTGTGATCCACTCTTGTTAAACTCAGCAGAGGGGCACTCTATTCAGCTAAGCCATCTTAAATCCTTTTAACCGGTAAAAAAAAAAAGCACCTCCAAAACAAAACCCCTACATCGTTTTTATTAGTCACCGCTGCCAGCAGTAAAGATGGTATGTGCTTCCTATCGGACCTTCAATCTGGCACGGTTCCTATTATACTTTTTTTTTTATTTGTGAGGACTTTAGCTATGTTTGTAAAGTGAAGAGGCCACATTAATAGTGACTTAGGTTTCCGATTCAGGCTTTCTTCTTATGCTGCATGAGATTCAAGATGAGATTTTATTTCACAATGACTCATTAATCCACCCTGAATTTTTTATCAATGAGCAATGACGACTGGCTTGTAATATTTTATCTTATAGGACAATCAACCTAGTGTATCTGGATCCGACATTAATCACGGCTGTCATCTCTTTTGTAATAAAGAACTGACTCACAGCAGCCCTTCATGACAACTACACGTTGTGAAATGTAACAATTAAAAAACTGTTTTGTTTAATAATGTCTACCACTGTTTTGGATACACTCCTTCTCAGTCATGCCAGGTCAGCATATTTTGAAATCTTACCCTAGGCTCAGACTGCTGTGTAGTTAAAAAAGTTGCCAAATGCCTGATGAGGCGATAGGATAGGAAGAGCAGCTGGGTGCAACTATAAGGCTTCCTCCAAAGACTTATCATTCCCAATGTCCATTTAAAAACTGAAACTAAACGACAATATTGTTGAGTTTTTTCTGGAATGTCTTCACGACTGACTCATAATGCACCGCTCCCATTTTACTGACAACACAACTCCTGGGTTTTAGCTCATATCCCAAAGGTTGCATTCTGGCAAACTACAAGATATGAAACATAAAAATGGTTTGTTTTTAAAGAATGCAACACACCTAACTACCATTGTTCATCTCACAATGTTAAAATGTCCAAGACATTGAAAAAGGACTGAAATACAATTAATCGAGGGCCTTGTGCCCTAACACGGGAGATTTTATAGTCAGCATGTGAATGTGTTTACAAGAAGTGTACTAAACACTGACATCTGCTGCTCTTCATTCCTGAGCTCCGCAAACAAGTGCATAACGCCAACAAGAGCCAAACAGAGCACAGCAGTCTACATGGAATTCAAACTGAATGTCTTATCCTTCAGTAAATGTTGTCTCATCTCACAGAATGTCCCCTCAGATTTGCCGATTAAAGTTGTTAGGCTGGTTTTGAATGAAGCAACAAAACCTGATTCCTATGACTCGAGACTGGCGCATCATGATCACTGAACCAGCTATAATACAGGTGTTATCTTCTTTAAAAAAGCCCCGAGAGGATAAACAACAGCAGTTCAAACATAGTCTGGGTATGAAATCACAAAGCTACAGTGACTCTTTCTACAGACAATGCAGGCTGACAGCCTATACTATAGCAGCAAATAGTTTTCCCCAAACACTTGGCAATGGCTCTGTTATCAAAATACACCACACAGCATCTATTGAGTTTGACCCGCTTTTGTGCTACAGAGATAATAAACACACTGAAAATATGTTTCACAGCTCCATGACAACCCTCAGAAACTCGACTCCCTGATTGAAGAAAGTTGGAAATGGTTTGGCCCAAACAGCTCCACGAGGCAGATGTCTGCAATTAGACATATTTTCTCTATAAATCACATCAGTTCATTGTTACGATTCTCCCCGTCTGGCTTTGTAGACATTTGGCGAAATCACAGAAAATGAAGCAGTGGGCAGGAAGTAGTATTTGTTGGCCAAAGGGAGAACAGACTGTAGTATTGTTAAAATGTGATGACTTAATACAGGCAGGGAGAAGAAGCTACTGATACTGTCTCTACCCTGGATGTTACAGAGAGAGAGAGAGAGACACAGCTGTGACCCTTAAAGCTTGGCCTGAATGTATACTGTCAGCAAGTCAAAACCTGGATGCTCTCACACAGCTTGTTTACATCACATAATAGATTAAGGTATGCATGCATACTCTAGGCTGAGTGGTTGAAAAACGAACTGTTACGAATGAGCATATCTGACTGATGATATGGAGCAGGCATGTGAAAGTGTATCTCAGTTATCAAGAGACTTAAAGCTGCTACAATAAAAATATATATTTTTTATGTGTGGGAAAGCTGGTCGTTTTTCACCACAAACTCACATATAATTATTATCTGACTTTGCAGTTTCCCTGAGCATTTTAGCATCTTTCGGCTCATTGTTTTTGGTTTTATGACCGCAACATGATAGTAAAAAATGTTTTCTCAGCTAGCATGTTGTTTTATAACAAAATAAACTTCAAGCCTGATATTTTTACAAAGGAGTCAGTGAAAAGCTAAACAGAGCTAAAAGCAGAGTAAATATTTGACAGTACATTTGTTAGGTTGAGATGCTAATGTTGCCACAAATCCACTTTATGACATAGCAAAAGACATACTGTAATCAAATGTTTTGCTAAGCGAGTTGCAAATCTGCCATTGTAAGTTGTTCTCACGATATATCCTTCAAATCAGAGAAAACCTTAAACTAAACCTGTTTTGGCAAGACGAGAGCACAACCAAAACCCTGGAGCAAATCTCATGTGGGATGATTTGCATTGACTTTGAATATACTTTGAATTCTGCAACGGACATGGACACTGCAAATTCTACCATGTTAACCATGTTCAATGTACAATGAATGAAACCCATGCTTCTGTGAGGCCTTAAGGAGAAAAGGTGTTTAACCTTGCTGGTGAATGAATGACTCTCTTGGCTGTCCTTGTCACACAGTAACTCCTGCCAAGGCAAATACAATTCACACCAGTAGCCCGGGACTTTGTATTTGTCATTGCTGAGTGTTTATCTAAGATTGAAACTCCTGGTGATGCACGTTTTTCGTAATCTAATAATTTGGACTCTGCTGGCTCATGACTGGAAGTTGGAGGGTGGTCACGGAAGACGACATTGGTCATGCAATAAGTAAAACAAACAATTGGGGTTGTTAAAGCTGGTCAAACAAGTGCTGCGGTGCATGTGAAGGAAGGACAAAGTACAGTGGTGGCCACAATGAGAAGCCAAGTCTGCACTCCTTTAAACATCCTTCCTTCCTGCTCTCCTTAAAGCTATCAATTATTTGGCTCCCTTGGACAGATGTTAGGGGTCTGACTGGTTTCCATATAAAGAAGAATGTTATAAATGGAAAGCTTAAGACAAGTAAGGAGAAGCTTATTATGCCTCATTATGGTCTTTATCATAACATTACTCTTTATCTGCTAATTTGTTTGACTATTTCGCAGCAGCAACAAGCAGTTATTAAAACTTCAAAGATGCTTACCACAAACCCATCATCCAACATGTTCCCATCTTAGGGCTCACTCTTTGTCATTTATTAGTTTCTTGTTGTGCCTGGGATTAGAGCGGCCCTGCGGTTTGAGCTTTTTAAAGTGCTGAACACTGAGCTGGAGAATTCCATTATGTGCCAATGCAAAGCAGTCAAATAATGTATTCCCCAAACACTCTCCACTCACTCAAGTATGTGTGCCATCCGCATCTATTAGGTCCAAATCAAAGGACTTCAAGATGCAAAACAAAAGACAATGTGCCTCTCTCTGTCACTCAGTCTTTGTCAGTGTGCACATGCTTTAGAAGCTAGAGATGCCGTGGGCTGGTGATGTGAAACAGTCCCACAAACTGTGCTAAGGATAACACAAATATTTAAAGAGTGCACTTACATTAGCTTTGTGCTGCCTTTGTATGTCACACAGATTAGGTTTCATTGAGAGAGGAAATGTGCATTAGTAATGTGCATGGTAACACACAAACTGAAAAAATGACAGCTAAAAGCATACACAATGCATTAGTTACAATATGAGTATTCTTAGGGTTCATTCACACATGACCTGCAAAGCCACAGAGAGAAGTCACTTGTCCAAATCTCTGTTACTAAGTCAGTGGAGAACTCTTAACTCTTAAAGCAACACAAGTCAAGATCCAGCAGTAAAACCAAAAACGTTACCATCTTTGCAGGTGATTTCTTCTCTATAAGGCAGAAAGTCTATTTAGTTCTTGTTCCTGATAATCCTCTCCAGAGAGTCTCCCTTGGCTCCGTGCTGAGAGACTTGCCATGTTTAGAGCATCAACAACAGAAGTCTGCTGAAGTATATCCACATGACAGTGAGTTGTCTTGATCGAAAAGTAACCAAAGTTATTCCCATTCTTTGTACACTTTTCACAAGTCTTGAGTTTGTAGCACAGAGAGCTACAACTTGCCAGGCTGCCTGTTGATCCTCTTGCTTCACTTCTTTCGCTTCTCTGGCCACTCTGAGTGTTTAGGGGACGGGAGAGAGAGAGGGAAGGAGGGAGCAAGAGAGTGCCTGAGAGGGGGAGGAGAAAAGCTTTCTCTTTCAAGGGAAATCCCCCTCGAGGCTTTTCAGAGTTTCTCCCCTCTCTCTGAAACACACGCAGGCTTTATCACATACCCTAACACACTCACAGACACAACATGCCACAAATGGACACACAAAAGCATGCCAGTATGCACATACACACCCACTCAATGTGAAGGTTACTGTATGCAAATGTAGGAATTGAAACATTTCCACATCCTACTTTGTCATGCATGTAAACACACCGATGTGCTCCTCTGGCCCAGCATCAGAGAAATGCAGAAATCCAGCCCCTTGTCTGTGGCCCCTTTTTTTTCTTTCTATTTCAATCACTGGAAGTTTTTTTAAAGCCTAAGTCAGTCTTTCTCCTCTCCCCTGTCACTCCTAGACTTCCACTGTCTGCTCCGGGCTTTCTCATTTCCTTTCTCCAGCAATTGTCTTCCGGCAGACTGCCCAGTCTTTGACCGTTATCAAAGGGGGTGAGAGCAGAGGGGGCTTCCCTGACGTTGTCCGAGCCAAGCAGCAGGCATTGAATAGTGCTGCTTTACATCCGCAGTAGGCCAGAGGAATTTAGGGTTACACCCTCTGGACTACCTTTTACATCTGGATTTGGAAGATAGAGAGTATGAAACACAAAACCCCCTGCTGTAAGAAGCGAGGTTCATCTCTGAGACATTCTTTGAGAAAACAGATTGACAGGAGATGGTTTATTTCTGTCTGTGAATTAGTGTTATTGAGGAGAATTAGAAAACTAGCTCACACATTGCCTCAACCCATGTCTGTTTGTTGGTTCAAATTCCAGAAATTACTAGAGTCCATACATATTTTCATTACCAGGATAACAGGCAGAATATATTTACTTTAATTAAACTTTCCTCTTCATTATGCAGGTGAAGGGGCAGCTAGAAATATGAAACGTAAGCCTCTGACCTTCTCTGTAATTCTCTCGGTATCTGTGGTTTCCCGCTCTGCAGAAACAGCAGTCTTTTAAGCATTCCTCACATGTTTTTCTTTCACAGAAAGAGAGCCATGCTGATTTGTCTCTCACCCTAAATTACAGAAATATGTAGGTAACATTCTTGAAATGTTGAGCACTGTTCCACTCCCCATTTCTCCCCTTTTTCTTCCATCTTTCAAAACTTGTGTATTGAACATCCCATTATAATATCTCCCCCAACATTCAGCATTGTATTATGACAGGGAAACTGAACAGTCAGGAGACAGAGTGAATATGAAGGATGTTAACCAAAAGTGCTTGCTCATACTAATCCAACAATCATGTGTCTGCTTAACAGTAATAATACTAAGGCCAATATTAATATAAAAACGTGTTTACTGACTTTCACCAATTGAAATAGACAAATTCAATATTTTAAGAAAGTATTACTTATCCTTTTAGCTCTGTATTTGGTCTTCATCACTCACTCTCATCAAACATATACAGCTCTTTTGTTACTAAATGCTTAACTGTTCTTGTACTAGTTGCTAACTTTGTCTGTTTGCTGTCCCGTGCTTGGCAGGTAGTATACAGTTAGTTTATCCGTTTGTTTTCTTCTTTAAAAAACTGCTGACTTTTGTAAAGAAACTATGCACGAGGGTGTTGAACAATGCATGACAAGCGACATCTGTTGCAGTATTTGATAAATAACAAAAAAATTATTTTAGCAGCTTTAATAGTTTCAATAAAGTCTATCAACCAATATGTGAGGGATATTTAAGACATAACTCACATAAACATGCAATGCCTACTTTGAATTTCTAGGGCCACATTTAACTAGAGATCAAACAATGATGTAATTGTTTCAAAGTTACTTATCTTTGTCCGTTTATTTCTATTTACCACCCGAAATGTTCAGCAATACTTTGTATTTGTCATAGGCTTAGATCTTCTGGGTTCTTTCTGTGATTCCAGCTAATTCTCAGGAAAGGGCAATGTTCTTTTGACTCATTGTCTAGTCTCAGACTAGTCCAGACTGTTGCTCTAGCAAAAAACATGACAGTGAAGCTGAGGGCTGGGAGGATGAAAGCGGGTCACAGCGAGCTGACACTCAATTTTGATCCCTCCTTCATGAAAACCAGATGGGCTGTCCATCTAAGCCAACAGAGAGATGTTGGAGGGGGCTGCTCTGTGAGTCAGTGAATGGTGAGATTTGATAGGCGTTTTAAAAATTGCAGACATAAACAAACATGTATACACACCGAGAGAACCAGACAAAACTAAACTAAAAATGTACACAGAGTTAGAGAGCGAGAGTTCCGGAGATACCGGCGGAAGTTTTGAGCTCACACCCACATGGGTTCATTAAGTACACGTATAAACATGCACATGTACTGCATTTTCTTAAGTACAGACATAAACCTTGCACGCAAACACAGCAGGACGAGACCCTGAACGCTCCCTCCCTCCCCCTGTGTTTAATTCCATTCTACTGAGTGGGAGCCCCCTAAGGCGAGTAAGCAGGACCCCTTCAGTGATTTACTTCAAACCAACACTCGCCCCTATGACCTCCCGTGTACACTTAGACTCAGCAGCCCTTGGCCTTGACGGTTTATAACGCATGACTCACAGTGAGCGTACACACTATCATCGTCGTTAAAGAATGGGAAAACACAAACTCTCCTCTTGGCAGTTTACCCCCTGCATCACTTCTTGGATCAATTAACTGACTCCATTTATACTCCAAGTACTATATTCGTGTTCTTTATGCGACGCAGGTTGTCTTGATTTAAAACAAGGGGAGAAGAGCAGTCTCAGCATTCATAATTCATATGTGACACTATTATGAAGTGCCCTGTCAAAGTGACGAATGTCTGAATAGCTTTTGGCTGTAATCACTCGTGTCTTGATGGGACAAGATGAAAGGAGGAAAGGGAAGACAAAGAGGTTATCTGTCTCTCCCTTGTTTCACGTTCCCAGGAAGAGCGACCTTATCAGCATCTGGAGATCTGCTGCCGTGACTGTGACATCATTTCCTGCCCGACCCCGGCCTGTCAAGATTAGGGGGCCCGGGTTTTGTGATTTAGACATTTTGGTTGTTCTTTCAACAAACAGAAGGGATAAAAGTCCCTGCTTCTTTTCCCAGTTGATATCTGTCTACACCACAGATGTGTTTTTGTGTGTGGTATTTCTGGGCTTTTTGAAGCGAGGATTTAAGGCATGTTTTGAGTAGCATGTCACTCCTGCTGTGCTGCTCAAGAGAAAATGAGAGTCTTGTAGATAAAAGATGTGCATTCAAGGACATTCCAGCAGGGTCAGTCGGGCTCTGTACATGCATGTGGACGTCTGTCTTTGTTCATTCAGGTGCCGACGAGTGATGCATCGCGACATTAAGTGTTCCCAAATGTTTGTTTCCCTTGTAATTGTAAATCCATCGAGTTCTATTGCTCCATTTTTAAGGCTAATACGAGACAGGACAGCTCTGCTTGAAACACTTTAAATGGCTTTCCATCTGCCCCACTTTAACAGCTTTGTTCCCACTGAGGCTTTTATAATGAGACATTTTAATACAACGATAATGTCTCTCTGGACTACAAATCCTTTTCTCAGTGTAGTCACATTTTTCTTTTCTCCTTATAGAATATGCAAAAACACAACCAACTCCCAAACAAACACTTACATCTTAATAGATAACATATAAAATAGGATAACATTTCTAAAAATAACTTCAATGTACTTAATTTTGTCAAAAAGAGCAAACTGTCCTACCAACAGGATTAAATGTATATCATTGTAATCCTCTGTTGATGCCTGTTTTGCAGCAGCTTACATCCAGATGATACTGTGCTCATGTCATTATATCACACAATCCTGTTTATAGCAAATCCTCAATATGAACTTCAATCCCTTTTGGAAAAAAACAATGCGCTTTGCCAATGAATCCCACTCAGCAGCAATCTAGGATATAGCCTGAATCTAACTGTGTGAGGGCTTAGTCAAACAAATGCTGGGAATAAAGGACCATGCATGCTCTGCAGGAGAGGAATGATGCATAAAAGACTCCCCCAAAATGGAAACATCTTTGCCATAGCTAGAAAGAACAAAGCCCATTTGTTCCTTATTCTTTCTGTAGGCTTGAGTTGATATCCAAGTGGGAAAATGAAGTGTTTGTGGTTCAGTGATATCACGTCAATTTGCAGTATTTCAATCGAGGGCTTAGCAATGAGCTGCTATAGAGTAATTGTTTCTCAAGAGACACTTTTGTAAGAATCAAAGACTCTCCTATCTGTGCAAGCTTTTGCTTAAAGGGGACCTATCATGCAAAATGCACTTTTGTACGTCTTTTATACATGAATATGTGTCCCCGGTGTTCCACGGAACTCACCAAGTGTCAGAAAACACAACCCTCTCTATTTTCCTCCATACCCAAATCTCTAAAAAAGGGGCTGCAACGGATCTGATAAAAACTGATCCAGATTTGAACACTGTCCTGACGTCAGGACGGTGGCGCTACGGCTATTGGGCCAACTCCACCAATCAGGAGGACACAGACACGGCCATTGCCGTTCGAAAGCGCTGGAGACGCTGTAGTACATATGCCAGGCCTGTAGATGGTGCTGTTCTCACAGAATCAGCCCTTGCAAAAACAGAGCTAAATAAGTGCAAATTGAGCGAAATGAGGCATGGCTAAAATGCATGATCTGTTTGGTATTTTGAAAAAAAAAAAGTATAAATATGCCTTATATAGGTATGGTCCTACACTATATTATTATAATATAGCATGATAGGTCCACTTTAACAAAAAAAGGATGTTGATGCTGTATTGATTATTAGCACATGTGAAGGTCATGGTGGACCCACTGAGCAGTTCCACATGTTTTGGTCGGTCCCTTACTGTCCTGCTGTGTTGTCCTGAGAGGTAGAGCGCTGTGAGGCTTTAACCTCAGCTGGCCACTGCTGGGTGCCGGTCCAGAGTAGGAAGCAGGTGTTAAATTCACAACAGCAGACAAGT